CCAGATTCATCCATGTCCCTACAAACGACACGAACTCATCATTTCTGATTGCTGCATAATATTCCATGGTGTATATGTGCCACATTTTTCCAATCCAGTGTATTATCAATGGGCATTTGGGTTGATTCCAGGTCTTTGCTATTGTAAACAGTGCTGCAATGAACATTCGTGTACATGTGTCCTTATAGTAGAACGATTTATAGTCTTTTGGACATATACCCAGTAATGGGATTGCTGGGTCAAATGGAATTTCTATGTCTAAGGCCTTGAGGAATCGCCACACCGTCTTCCACAATGGTTGAACGAATTTACACTCCCACCAACAGTGTAAAAGTGTTCCTTTTTCTCCACATCCTCTCCAGCATCTGTTGTCTCCAGATTTTTTAATGATCGCCATTCTAACTGGCGTGAGATGGTATCTCAATGTGGTTTTGATTTGCATCTCTCTGATGACCAGTGACGATGAGCATTTTTTCATATGATTGTTGGCCTCATATATGTCTTCTTTCGTAAAGTATCTGTTCATATCCTTTGCCCACTTTTGAATGGGCTTGTTTGTTTTTTTCCTGTAAATCTGCTTGAGTTGTTTGTAAATTCTGGATATCAGCCCTTTGTCAGATGGGTAGACTGCGAAAAAAAAGAGAAACTTTTCAAGAGTTGAATGGCATCATGGTTAGGGAAGAAAAATTCTGTAACTGGAATAGATGGTTTTAGTAATTCACATGTCTTCAATTTGTACTCTAGTCATAGCATACTTCTTAAAAAGTTGGTAAAAATAATGTGTTTTCTCTTTCCCCCTTCGTTTGACTAATTTCTGTAACATACACCCTCACAATGAATTATTGACTCAGGGACAAGAGGTAGAGAAATTACAGAGATTGCTAAGAATATCTACTGATTCTTATTTTCTACTTCTGCTTTAAAAGCTGTTTAGAAAATCTAATCAAGCCAAGCTTACATCCAGTAGAAACAGAGAGTGAATACATGTGCTTCAGAGCAGGTTTTTAAAAGAGAGCTTTCCCCATGGAACAGTGACCATATTGGGGAAAGAAGAGCTCAGAAGACATGAGTTATGCTTTCTGTTGCCTGGGAGGTGTTTGCTTAGAGAACACGCTGCTCAAGTATTTAAACCTTCACATTAGCCTTTTCCCAGTTGTTGGCAGAGTGAATGAGCATAAACTGTATTTGATGAGCTATAATTAACATAAATACTCATTTTTAAGCAGATAAATTTTTTTGAAACTGAAGGAAAATGGTTTAATTAGAGAAGCTTATACTTCCTATGAAAGGACTAGTCTTTTTGCTCCATGTTTTTAGTAAAGTTTAGTCAAATTTAGTTTAGTTCAGCTAGAACTAACATAGAAAAATTTGGAAATACATTTTATTCCTTTTTTTTAAACTAGAGGTTAGCAAACCTCGGCAGAAAAACCAAATGCAGCCTGACACCCATTTTGTAAATAAAGATTTATTGGAACATAGTCATGCTCATTTGTTTACAAATTGTCTCTGACTACACTTGCACTGCAACAGCATTGTTAAGTAGTTGTGACAGAGACCATATGGCCTGCAAAGCCTAAAATATTTACTATCCTGCTCTTTACAGGAAAGGCTCGCAGATCGCTGTTCCAGACTAATGAAAGTACTCAGTATCAGTGTTTTTGTGGTTACATATGGCATAAATGGCTATTAATTCTCTGAATTATTATTAATTTTAAATATGTCAGTATCTTCTGTACTTGATTATTGTGTGAAAATAACTGAATTAATTCTGAAAATTGATATGGCCTGATTGCCCAATGGAGAATATGTTGGACATTACAAAACTCATTTCTGCTTTTCAGATCCCATGGACAGTAAAATAATTTATTTGTTGATTTGCATTTTACCACTTAAAAACATCTTCGCAAGACATTGTGTAGTACAAAGCATGCTGTCAGCACTCACTTACCAAATGCTTTCTAGATTTTTTGGAACAATTTAAAATGTCAGTGCTTTTCTTCCTTTGTGTTCTTCAGTTTTCTGTGACGGCTGGATGGTTCCACTGCTTGGCATTCATGTTCCTTCCAAGTAAAGGGCAGAGACTTAAGGTTACCCTGTGGGTCATTTGCCTCATCAGGGTAGTTGGATCCTTCTCAAGAGAAGATTAGTTTAATGAGATGCTGCCTGATAACTGAGGCTGTTCTGTTGAGCACTGTAAGAACCAGACTGGGGACAAGAATTGATTTGTTTATTCATTTATACTTACGTTTATTCAACACATGTTGAAGCCATGCTTTACTAGGTGCTGTACTCTTAAGGATTTAATAGTCTCTTACAAGAGATGGACACAAGGCAAGTAATTATCATATATTGTGTTAGGTAAGATGATTGAGTTATAGGCAGGATATTACAGGAGAGAAGGGGCATCTAACTCACCATGGGGAGAGGACAATCAAGGAAAGCTTTTTGAAAGAGGCTAAATCTAGAGCAATAAATCCAGGACATTCTGTCAAAGATTGAGGTGGAAATGTCTGTCAGGTGGATTTGAGTCTAAGTCTGGGATAGAGATAAGGATTTAGGTGTCTTTATTCTAGAAACGGCAGTTGAAACCCTGAGAGCTAATGAGAGCCTGAAGAGTGGGAAGAGGGCTCATCGTGGAAAGGCCAACATTTAAAGATCAGAAAGAGATGCATAAAGGAAACAAGGAAGGGGTCAGAGAGATATTTAAGAGTACCAAGAGAGCAAAAGACAAGAGTGCTTAGAGACTGAATGAGGGGAAGGAGACAGTCAATGGAAAGATGGAAAATCCAGGATTGATCAGGGACTGGCAATGTAGGAGGCCGAGGAGAGATGGAATTCATTTCAAATATAATCTAATGTGACTGCTTATGTTTTAAACAAATAATGGCCTAGAACTTAGTTTTAGGCTGTTGTTTAAAGTAGGCCCCAATAAATAAGTTGATTTCCTATATTTGTAAAAGCTCATAAATTTTATTTAATCAAACATACATTTATTGAGCACTTATTTTGTACTAGGTGCTGTGAGAGGTTTCTGCCCCAAGGGATAAACTATGAGGGATACAAAAATGATCAGAAAGTGAAGTAGTAATATTTAAGCTAATCCCTGGACAATGGGGAGGGATGAAAGTACATGTAAGTCAAGAATAGAATTGGCAAGAGTTAGAGCAAAAGCACAGTACATGAAACTCCAGGACAACTGTCAAATCTTGAATTTCTGTTCTTGGCTATGTCTGTCTCCACCACTGGACTCTTTAATGCTGAGGACTGTAATTTATAGAGCCTCACTGGTGTTTTGCATGGTGTATTTATTCAATTAATGTTTGCTATGTGAATGAAACTTGATGAACAGAAACATTGTAATTGTTACTTATTCCATAGGCTTGCCTGTGCTGGCCTTAGTAATAAAGCAAAAACTAACTTAAAGACTAACATTTCTATGTTCATCAGTGAAACGGGTAATAGGTAAATTATCTTCTTGATCTGATGTTTGAGAATGACACATTAGAATTCTAAATGAATCAAGTATATGTAATTTATAATGTTACTATATGATATAAAAACAATTTGAGATAGAAGTCCCAAATATGAAGTTCCTTAAGACTTTGATCAAAACAACACAATTTCTTTGAGATTTTCTTTTTTAAAAAATTTTTATTTTTCAACAACAGCTAACCAAAGATGGGATCTTCTTTACATGATAATGTTGAAGTCAATTTAAACATGATTTATTTGTTAGCATGTTAATGGTTATATTTGTTTTATATTTTGAAGTGAACTATAGCCTTCTTTTAGTATTAAAAAATAACCTCTTGGTGTACAGATGCTTTAGATTAACCAAGGGTACTTGTTTAAAAAAGCTAATATTTTATAGCTGCATTTCTGTGGTTGATTTGATAAATTTGGGAATTAAATTGACAGTACAAATTTCATTAGTGGCATTACATAGTCAATTTGGAGAGGTTCATTTAATGTGCTACCTTGATTTAGAATGAACATTTAGAAATATGAAGAGTTGACTGGGCATGGTGGCTCACGCCTGTAATCCTAGAACTTTGGGAGGCCGAGGTGGGCAGATTGCTTGCACTCAGGAGTTTGAGACCAGCCGGAGCAAAAGAGACATGGCAAACATGGCAAAACCTCGTCTCTACTAAAAATACAAAACAAACAAACAAACAAACAAACAAAAAATTAGCCAGGCATGGTGGCTCACGCCTGTAGTCCCAGAGAGTTGGTGGCCTGAGGCAGGAGAATCGCTTGAGCCCAGGAGGTTGAGGCTGCAGTGAGCTGTGTTTGTGCCACTGCACTCTAGCCTGGGTGACAAAGTGATACCCTGTCTCAAAAAACAAAATAAACAAAAAAAGAAGAAATATGAAGAGTTAGATAAATGATACAATAATAGCCCACGTTTTCTTGTTGATTGTCAAAAAGGAAATAATTAACAGTATCTATTATAACCACACAGGATGTATTGATTTAAGGATTATAATAGAAAATAATTCAAGCAACTGGAAAGGTGAAGGATGTTGTTCTATGAAGATTTTGTATCCTTAATTATTTATAAGTATTTGAGTTATGTGTGACTTCATTTTCTCCGTTTTTTGATAGTGATATCCAAAACAAATCTGAAGTTATTTGTTAGTTTGACCTGTGTTATCCTTGCTTCTTAAATTCGTGAATTATCTACTTTAATCTGGTTCTTATTTCACAAATGATGGAAGTCAGATTAAGCAGTTTGTTTAAATGACCTGCAGTGAGTTATAGAGATAGGTCACCTTTCTGTGCTAACGAGTTGGCAAGAAAAAGTCATGAAAGTTTACGGGCTTCCTGTTGCAGTTGACCACAAATACACTTCCATAAATGAAATAAACAGGTTTGCTCATTGCATCATTATAAATTTAATTTCAAACTTAATTTTCTAAATCATTTTTTCCAAGTAAGCAAGCAAGAAAAATAAATAAGAACTCATATATTTTCTTGTCTTTTTTTCCCTTGCCCAATAGGACCAGACATATTATCAATCATTTCAGGTTTCAGAATATGGTAAGAGTTTCTCAATTTATTTTGGAAGAAAAAAACATCTGTTATTTTCTGGAGAGATTATAGAAATGTTTAAGAGATGTGTTATTTGAAGTAAAAATCCCAATGGAGTTAAAATTCTGGTGTTTTTTTATAGGCTTAAACATATTTTTTTCTTTTGTAAAAATTCTAAAATCTCGTTATATAGAAAAAAGTAAAAAAAATCACCTATAGTTATATTATGCTAGTCTTTTTCTTATGCACAACACAATATATTTTTCTACTTTATTGTAATCATAAAATATTTAAAATGTTGTGCTTAAAAATACTTAAATTATCGTCCACAGTTTTCATTTGATTGGCTTTTGTAAAGACAGTCTGTTGAACTCAGGTAAATCTTCTTCTTACAGTTGCCATACTTAAATATCACAGTTAGAAACCCATAGATAAAAACATGGAACTCACCTATTTTCTTGATGAATGGAGAGGAATGGAGAGCTGAGAGTGAAAGCATAGGATCTTAGTATTAGTTATACTTTGAATAGTTATTTTGTGGTTACGCATGCAGTTTTTCATTTGATTTGAGCTTCTTTTTGAGTTTGGGTTTTATTTAGGCAGTAGAAATGATAATGTCCAGGTAGTAGTACCTCCGGCTCTGTGGGCCATATGTCTCTGTCATTACTACTCAGCTTTGCCTTGGTAGCACGGCAGCAGCCAAAGATAGTATGTATATGAATGCTTCTGTGCTGCAATAAACCTTATTTTATGGACATGAAAATTTGAATTTCATATAATTTTCATATGTCATGAATATTCTTCTTCTTTTGATTTTTTTCCAACTAGTTAAAAATTGTAAGAATGTTCTTAGTTCATGCTGGTCATAGTTTACTGAACTCTGATCTGTAACTGTGCTCCCCAGTATGGGGGCCACTTGCCATGTGTGGCTGTTGAGCACTTCAAATGTGCCTAGTCCAAATGGAGACACCAGATGTTAAAGACTTAGTATAAGAAAAAAGAAATAAAAATAGTTTGTTAATTACCATTTGTTATTTTGATTATTTGTTGAATTAATAATATTTTAGATATATGGGATTAAATAAAATATAGAAATTAATTTTACCTGCTTTTTTTACTTTTAAAATTTGGGTACTAGAAATGAAAAATTACACACATGGCTCACATTTTATTTCTTTTTGACAGCGTGATCTAGAAGAATAAATCACAGGGGACCAACATTTTTATAGGCTATGTTTATATCCCATTGTGGTGATATGCTGGGTGGTTGTATGTCATTGGATAAGGTATAGTGGAGGTGGGGAATTGATTACAAACCTATAATGTTTGAGGAAGAGGCATTTTGATTTCCTTTGTGGTGGGGGTGTCAAGTTGACTCACATAACTTTTTTGGTCTCCCTGTCCTAGACTGGTCTAGAGTCTAGGAGTGTCTTGGCACATTCAGGGCCATTAGCCTCGAATGGAGCTGAAGGTCTGCCCTATATTGTTGCCCCTTTGGGTATTTTGATACTTCTCTTATGTTAATTGAAAGGTGAGGTGCCTTGTTATGAGAGTGACCTGTTTCTTTGGTCAGAGAACTATAGAAAAATGTTTTATAACCTGGAAAGAAACACACATTTTTTACTCTGGTTAGAGTGCTTTATATCAATTATAGTATTAATACTTATGAAATAGTTTATACCTTAATTATTATTATTATTATTTGAGATAGAGTCTCACTCTGTTGCTTAGGCCAGAGTACAGTGGCACAATCTTGGCTCACTGCAACCTCTGCCTCCTGGGTTCAAGTGATTCTCCTGCCTCGGGCTCCCAAGTAGCTGGGATTACAGGTGTGTGTCACCATGCCCAGATAAGTTTTGTATGTTTAGTAGAGACAGGGTTTCACCACGTTGGCCAGGCTGGTCTCGAACTCCTGACCTCAGGTGATCCACCTGCTTCAACCTCCTAGAGTGCTAGGAGGCATGAGCCACTGCTCCCAGCCTCATACCTTAATTATATAAATCTAACCAAACTAGGGATTTCTAGTTTTGGGTAAAACAAGGGCTTTTCATCTGTGTTAACATGTATTTGGATTCTAATGAGTTTATGTTCAAATAGTACAAATTATCAACTCCTTCAGAACATGTTTATTTTTCATTTTGTTCAGTGGAAGATGATAATGAAGTAGATTTTAAAAAAGATTTACCATTGCTTTTCTTTTCCAGTATTACCAAAGTTTGATGTGGCTTTGCAGACACCGTTATATTGTTCTATGAATTCTAAGCATTTAAATGGTACCATCACGGCAAAGTAAGTGTCATTTTTCTTTTGATATGATTCGAAACCATTGTCAAACTGTATGACTAAAACCTGATTATATCCTCCAGAATAGTAGGACAATTTTTGCTTATTAAAATACCTTAGTGAACAGGAAACAACTATTTATAATATATAATTACTCATGGGACAGATCTCTGCATCCATTGCCCTGCTTCCAAGCTGACCCAGTCCTAAAATATTTCCTATAGACTAGTGTCTGTCTTAGACTTATTAAGGGATTTACATTATAGATAGCACTCAGGTTTTTTTTTTTTTTTCCGGATGACATGGAATTGAGGTAACTTATCTTTTCTGAAATTCTATTTTTTTCCATTGATAATGGAGGTAGAGCTCTTGGGGAGAGAATTGGTTGCCTTATTGCAATTAACAAATGAGTAAATTATCTGCATTTATCCATCACATCATGTGAATACAGAGACTTCCAACCCACCTTACGGAACAGGTCTATGGTGGCTGTCATGATTTTGACTCACTAGCTTGAACAACGCATAGTGTTTTGTTTTGCTGAGGCAAAAAGCATTGTCAGAGTTCCAGACTAATGGTTCTCTGAAGCAGGCTGGGACTGCCCTCAAGTAATTCAAGGACTGGTCTCTTGTAGCTTTTGTTTTTGATGTGTCAGTATCTGTGCTTTGGTTTCTGAAATATATTTAGTTTCAGAATTTACTTCTAAAAGGTAATAAAAGCTGGACCTCACCTCTCTGCCATCTTCTCACTATATTCCTCACCTGGTGAGGGTTTGTGGCCATGGCATGTCAAAGGATGGGCAGCAGAGAATCTCCTGGCAGAAGCATCTCCATAGACCAAAATGTTCTGAGGACTCCTATTTTAGACTCCAGCAAAAAAAAAAATTATCAGAAGCCCATGTAACATAAAGGCAAAAGTGTGTCTACAATTTGTATCAAGTTAGATTTCCACCCTGTTCAAGTAAAAGCTAACTTCCAATATGAATTTGGGTACTGTGAATGGATTAATGGTTTAGACAATAGATAAATGTCTGCATTTCCCATAATTATCATACAATACTTGATCTTAGCTGAGGGTTAAGCATTCTGAGTTTTATTTTGAGTTCTTTGACTAATGCTCATAAAAGTTAGTGGGTACAAATCCACACAGACATTGTGTGTGGACCTGCCCAGTCTACATCCACATGGATTGGGCTGAGTCTGTCTATCATCTTTTGTTCTGTTTTTGGTTTTCAGAAGTGTGCCAGGGATTTAATACAGTAAGTTAAAGCAGTGGTTGTTAAACTTTGCTAACTCTGCAGAAAAATTTACATGTAATTTTAGGGGGTGTTGGGTTTCCCTGAAACCTTACTATTGACACCCTCCTCCCTAGCCCAGCGGGAGCACTTGTTTCATCACGGTTCTCATGGTTGGGCCTCTTTGAGACACTGATGGTTGATAATAACATAACAATTGTGATGGCCTCATGACATTCTTTAGTGTTTACCATGTTGTATTCTTATCATTTTTCTTAGTATGTGCATCAGTTGAGGTTCAACCAGGGAAGGAGAGCCAGTGGTAGATTTATTCCAGGGTGGCGCAGATCTTCTGCGTGATTCAGAGGAATGGCCACCATGTGGCTGAGGCGTCTCTCCTCAGAGGGCTGTGAGTAAATGATGAACATCACATCTTCACCCTAGCTGTCCTGAGTTCTGGGCCTACCAGTACAGTTCCAAGGGAGTCTCTTGTTGCCTCCAGGGTGTAGAATCAGACGGAAAATATTATTTACAACTTTGCAACAGATTTAAGAAAGTTCTTTGACCAGCAGGTGATCTTTTATCATTCTATACAACTTGGGGTATAAATACTGGCATATACTATTCTATAAATAGTGTCCCAGAAAAGGTAGGCCCTCCTCATCATCCTGACTGTGTCTGTCATGATGAAAGCAGCATCTCCTTTTCCTTCAGAAGCTAATTCCTCCACTTGGGCCTTGGACACTGTCTCCTGAATCAGGAGAATCACAAACAATCCTGCTTCCTCTATTACCTGTGTCTCGATTTCTCCCATTTGGTTGTCTTTAACCTTTTGTTCTTTGGTAGGATCTTCACTCTGCATTTAATCATTTGTGTTACTAAAAGAAACGAACCCTTCCTTGACCTCCATGCCTCCTTCCAGCTGCTGCCTTTTCTCTCACCTCGTCTTCACAGCCAGTTAGAATTTCATTTCCACTTCTTCATCTTCTGTTCATTCTTCATTCACCTGCAGTCAGCCTGTCACCTTCACCATGCCATTGAAATTGCTTTCACCGTGGTTACAAAGACATCTTGCTTAATCTTGTGTGTAGATTTTTTTTTTTTAGTTTTTTTCTTTTTTTACAACTTTTTCTTTGCAGCTTATGACATTGTTGTCCACTCTCATTTCCTTTCCGGTTTTCCTTCTTTCTCTTTGGCTACTCCTTTGAGACTCTTGCAGGTAACTCCCTCTGTCCATCTTTTAAAAGTTCTTGTTTCAAGGCTGGTGCAGTGGCTCATTCATGCAATCCCAGTGTTTTGAGAGGCCAAGGTGGGAGGACAACTTGAGGCTAGGACTTTGATACCAGCCTGGGCAACATAGTGAGACCCTGTCTCCACAAAAAAATAAAAAAATTAGCTGAGTGTGCTGGTAGACATCTGTGGTCCAAGCTACTCATGAGGCTGAGGCAGGAAGATCACTTGAGGCTGCAGGAGCTATGATTGTGCCACTGCATTCCACCCTGGGCAACAAAGAAAGACCCAATTTCTTTTTTTTTTTCTAAAAAAAAGTAAAGAAAAAAACAGTTCTTTCTTAGAGCTCTACTTTGGTTCTCTTCTTTCTCTATACATTACTCAGATTTTTTTTCCTCCATGCCTAGGACTTCTGCTACTGCTTATAACTGATGATATCACATCTCTAGCCCCACATTTCTTTCTTGGGGTTCAGACACTGCTATGTCACTGCCTGCTAGACATTTCTCACAGGTGCTTTTATTTATTTATTTCCCTCCTCCTCCTTCTACTTCTTCCCTCTTCTTCCTTCTTCTTCTCCATCCCCTCCTCCTGCTTCTTCTTTCTTCTTCCTTCCTCCTCCTCCCTCCTCCCTTCTCTATCCTCTTCCTCCTCCTCCTCCTTCTTTCTTCCTTCCTCCCTCCTCCTCCTCCTCCTCCTCCTCCTTTTTCTTCCTCCTCCTCCGCCTTTCTTTCTTCCTCCTCCTCCTCCTCCTCCTCCTCCTCCTCCTTTTTCTTCTTCCTCCTTCTCCTCTTTCCCTTTTTTGGTAGGTCCCTATAGAAGATCCCACAGGTACTTTAAAGCAAACAAATAATCTTTCCCCAAACCTGATTGTTCTCTTATATCTCTCTTGGTAAACTGTACCACCTTCGGGTTAGCTTCCCATCAGCTGCACTCTCCCCATTTCCTCAATCCCCATAGCCAATCACCATCCGCGGCTTTTGATTCTAGCTCCTTACTCTCTCAAATCCATCCATTTTTCTCCATAGCCACTTCCTTGATTCAGGCCAGCATCATCTCTCCCTCCTCAGCTACGGTTGCAGTTTCTTAAATGTTTTTCCTGACTCAGGCTTTACCTCTTTCAATCTTTTCTTGGCGTGGTATCAAGTTTCTTGTTTCTCTTACTGAAAGGCAAATTTGATTTTATCACTCTTTTTGGGTGAAAACTTTCAGACTATTGCCTTGAGAGTGAAGTTCAGATTCTTTAGTTTATTTTGCAGGGCTCTTTTCTGGATTCATGTCTTTTGAAACATTCCACGTTCCTCTACTCCAGCCCATTCTCTACTGTCCCAAACTCTGCTCTCAAATTTTACTTTAGCTTCTAAAAATACAAAACACTTTTTTTCTGACCAGTAGGCCATTACATAGGCAATTTCAAGGCTTACTACTTGCCTCCAACACTTTTTATGCCCCTCTTAACACTAATCACACAGTGCTGTGCTGCTGTTTGCTTTGAAGGTGGCTCTGTGTCTTGTGCACTACTGCACCTTGGTGCCTACTACAGGGTCAGCCATGGAGTAGGTATCTAATATATACCTACTGAGAGAAAAAATAGGCCAGGCCCAGTGGCTCATGCCTGTAATCTCAGCACTTTGGGAGGTTAAGGAGGGTGGATCACTTAAGGCCAGGAGTTTGAGGCCAGCCTGGCCAACATAGCAAAACCCCATCTCTACTAAAAATACAAAAATTAGCCAGGCCTGGTGGCACACTCCCAGCTATTCGGGAAGGTGAGGCATGAGAATTGTTTGAACCTGGGAGGTGGAAGTTACAGTGAGCCGAGATTGTACCACTGCACTTCAGCCTGGGTGAGAGAGTGAGACTTTTTCTAAAAAAAAAAAAAAAAAAAAAAAAAAAAAGGAAAGAACAAATAGATAAGCAACATGACCCTTAAGATTTCGGCTCTAAGCTGTATGTAGCACAGCAAAGGTCTTCATACCAAACCAAAAGCCTAGTATTTGGAGATCTGTAGATACAGGAAAAAAGAAAGTCCGTTTATCTTATTTTCTCATTCAACAATCAACACGGAGGACTTCTGTGACCTCTGGTAATGAAGAAGTGGGTAAGGATTTCTCCCCACCAAATACCCAATCAATCAATCAGTTTTGCAGGGGACACCAGATGGGTGTCCTCTAGTTCAATTCAAGTCTGAAACTATCTACTGGAACACGGCATCAGATCATAGATGAGGACTTGCTCCAAGACTGTCCCCACTTCAGATGCCTCTCATAAGTAATAGTTGTCACCTATACTTCTGGCTGCAAATTGGAGTTCCCACTAGCTTCTCTTTGGGTTTGACTCATTTGCTGGAGCTGCTCACAGAACTCAGGAAAACACTTTACTAGCTTATTACAAAGGATGCGATGATGGATAGAGATGGAGAGCTGGAAGAGACATGTAGGGTGAGCCATGTGGGAAGGAACATGGAGCCTTCATGCCCTCCGAGCTGTGCATGCTGCCCTCCCGGAAACTCCATGTTTTCAGCTCTCTGGAAGTTCTCCAGAGCCTCTCCTTTTGGATTTTTATTTTGTGTTTTCTTTTTTTTTTTTGAGACGGAGTTTCGCTCTTGTTACCCAGGCTGGAGTGCAATGGCGCGATCTCGGCTCACCGCAACCTCCGCCTCCTGGGTTCAGGCAATTCTCCTGCCTCAGCCCCCTGAGTAGCTGGGATTACAGGCACACGCCACCGTGCCCAGCTAATTTTTTGTATTTTTAGTAGAGACGGGGTTTCACCACGTTGACCAGGATGGTCTGGATCTTTTGACCTCGTGATCCACCCGCCTTGGCCTCCCAAAGTTCTTTTTCTTTTTTTCCCCCATTTACCACTGATTAGAAGACAAGGTATTGCTTCATAAACTTTTTGTCTTTTTTGTGCTATGGCTGCTTTCAGAGAAAAAAATTCTTTGTTTTGTTAATGATACTAGCCTAGAATATTTTGATTTGCTTTTTATTTTATTTATTTTTTAGGTGATGAAGTCTCACTCTCTTACAGGCTGGAGTGCAGTGGTGTAGTCATAGCTTACTGCATCCCCAAACTCCTGGGCTCAAGCAATCTTCTCACCTCAGCCTTCCAAGTATCTAGGGCTATAGGTGCAAGCCACTATGCCTGGCTAATTTTGTCCTTTATAACGATGGGGTCTTGTCATTTTCCCCAGGCTGGTCTTGAATTCCTGGCCTCACAAGATCCTCCTGCCTTGGTCTCCTCAAGTGCTGGGACTACAGGCGTGCCCCACCACTCCCGGCCTGATTTGCTTTTTGAAAATTAGTTAAGCTTTTATTTTCTGAATGATTAACTTATCCCAAATGCTTCCAGGTTCTATTAGGACAATAATTGTATCTTTGTTTCACAATTATTATAGCCAGCTTGCTGTTTGGAAAACTAAATCTGTTTCACATTGAAGTCAAAATTAAAAGTTTTTGTGTCTGAGAGTACTTTAAATTATATTTGGATTTTAAAGATCCATATACTATCGTGTGCTATAACTCAGTTAAGATACAATATCCTGGCATTCTAATTTTGCTTTTATTTAATCTTTAGCATGATACAAGTAGAGTCAGGTTTCGAAGACTCTGGGATACGTGAATTGGATGCTATGGTTGCTAACCAAGGTTTCCACTAACTTTACTGTTTTTGTTTGGAAGTATGGTGCATTTAAAGGTGGATTTTATTATTTTTTCTTCTTAGTTTGGAATATGCTATATTTTAAGTTGACTTGATCCAGATGAGGGGCTGTTTCTGTGTTCAGTTAATGGATTCAGGAAGCAGCAGTTTATTGCTATGATTTATAGAATGCAGAGCAAAATTGACTTCCATCTCTGGCTCACATTTCACAATAGAGATAGAAGCAACCCAGGAAATGCATTTAAAAAAGGCTTTCTGGCAGTAAAATGTATTGCCTCATCTTCACATAAAGAAACTTTCCTATCATGAGAGAGGATAAAATTAGTACATAGAAAGAAAAGTAGAACGGAATGTTGTTTGACTCAAAAAGCTATGTTTGGGCTGGGCACACTGGCTCATACCTATAATCCCAGTACTTTGGGAGGTCGAGGTGGGTGGCTTGACCTCCCAAAGTGCTGGCCAATATGGTGAAACTCCATTTCTACTAAAAATACAAAAATTAGCTGGGTGTGGTGGCAGACATCTGTAATCCCAGCTACTCAGGAGTCTGAGGCAGGAGAATCACTTGAACCCAGGAGGCAGAGGTTGCAGCGAGCCAGGATTGGACCACTGCACTCTAGCCTGGGCAACAGAGTAAGACTCTGTCTCAAAACAAAAAACAAACCACAAAATTCGCTGGGCCTGGTGTCTTGCGCTTTTCATCTCAGCTACTCGAGAGGCTGAGGCAGGAGAATCTCTTGAACCCTGAAGGTGGAGGCTGCAGTGAGCTGAGATCAGGCCACTGCATTCCAGCCTGGGTGACAGAGTGAGACTCTGTCTCAAAAAACACACAAAAAAACAAAACAAAACAAAAACCAAGTTTGGTACTATGGATTTAAAAAATTATTTTTATTTTAAATTTTTCTGGAAAAAATCATTTTTGACAGCCATGAGCACATTTGGTGCTCCAGAATCGATGGTCTAATAAACCTTCCTGGCTAATATTGGAACCTGCAGCAATAGACCATGGTGATTGCAATTTCAGCTGAAATTTGAAAATCTTCTAAAGCTGCAAAGTTTCATGGACATGCAGTTAATGGGCTAGTCCAGATTTCTAGGAGTGAAAGATTTACATGATATTTAAAAATGAAACACCGCATATTCTCACTCATAGGTGGGTGATGAAAAATGAGAACACATGGACACAGAAAGGGGAGTACTAAACACTGGGGTCTATTGGGGGGAAAAGGGGAGGGCCAGTGGGAGGGGGAGGTGGGGAGGGATAGCCTGGGGAGAAAAGCCAAATGTGGGTGAAGGGGAGAAGAAAAGAAACACACTGCCATGTGTGTACCTACGCAACTGTCTTGCATGCTCTGCTCATGTACCCCAAAACCTATAATCCAATAAAAAATTAAAAAAAAAAATTCCATTTACAATAGCATAAAAACATAAAATATTTTAGTGTTACATTTAACAAAATATGCGGAAGATTTATATGCTAAGTATGATTGAACATTAATGAGGAAAAATTAAAGATCTAAATAAATGGACAGATATACTGTGAAAAAAAAAAAAAATCTTTGGACAGCAAACTGTCACTTCCAATTATGATCAGGTTTTCTTCTGGAGTCTTTCAGATGGTCAGAGGTTGGGCAGAGTGTGTTTTAAGAACCGTTTTAAGGTACTATAGTTAAAAGTCTTCCCATTTTGGAAACTTAATTTCAAGGATCACCATTTGTTTTTTATTTATTTAATTTTTTGAGATGTAGTCTCACTCTGTTGCCCAAGCTGGAGTGCAGTGGCACGATCTCTGCTTACTGCAGCCTGTGCCTCCTGGGTTTAAGCAGTTCTCTGCTTCAGTCTTTCGAGTAGCTGGGAATATAGGGCACCCACCATGAGGCCCAGCTTATTTTTGTATTTTTAGGAGAAATGGGGTTTCACCACCTTGGCCAGGCTGATCTTGAACTCCAGACCTTGTGATCTACCTGCCTCAGCCTCCCAAAGTGTTGGGATTACAGGTGTGAGCCACCGCGCCTGGCCCATGTAATTTTTTGAAATGTTGGATTGCTAAAATGTATGCTATTGAAAGTAGTATTTTTGTTGTGTTCTGACAATATCAAGTTGATATGTGAAAAAGACTATGTTTATAATTATTCAGGTATACATATGGGAAGCCAGTGAAAGGAGATGTAACACTTACGTTTTTACCTTTATCCTTTTGGGGAGAGAAGAAAAGTATTACAAAAACATTTCAGGTAACTTTTGCAGATATTTTATAACTTGTAATGGGGAAAAATATATGTAGTTTTTCTAGAAATAAGATTTAGTACTTAGTTAACAAAAAGTTAAGTGTAAGAAAATCAAGAGCTTTCCAGCATTGAATAAGTGAGAATTAATTCAATTTATAGTGATTAAAATGGTACCGGAGCTATCATATTGTCGTGACTCATCTAAGTTTTATTTCTAAAGTTTGAATTGCTAAAATGAAAAATAATACTGAACTTTTAAACAAAACAGATAAATGGATCGGCAAACTTTTCTTTTAATGATGAAGAGATGAAAGATGTAATGGATTTTTCAAATGGACTTTCTGAACACATAGATCTATCTTCTCCTGGACCGGTAGAAATTTTGGCCACAGTAACAGAATCACTTACAGGTTTGTAGACTTTAAAGTGAAGGTAACACTATTTATGTGACACTGCTTTATTGTCTTTCTTATTATTATAACTGGCACTTTCATTTGGGAGCGTATTGACTTTCTAAAGATGCTATTTAATGTTGAAATTGTTATGACTGTTAGTCTAACTTGCAGGATGAGTTTATAATGGGGGATCTTATTTTCTATGAATGTCTCTACTTCAACCACATGTGATTGCTCTTTGTAATTTTTTTCCATTTTTATTCTTTTCCCCTGAAAGCTACATGGAAAGGCTTACATTTTCAGCTGGCTACCTTCTTCTTTTTAAAATTGCTGAACTCTCAGCTGCTCCTAGACAGTAATAAGAAAATAAGGTTTAGTTTCTTGGACCTTTATGTTACTATTTCAGTAGCTTTAAACAATTCCTGAAAGAGCAAAAGACTATTCTTTCATTGGCCTTGATTTGAGGCTAGTGTACATGTCACTGTGGTAGAATGGCAGCAATGGTGCTTAGAAGGGATTCACAGAGAACATAATAGAACCGTGTGATACTTCTAGTTTCAAAGCCAATACGGGAGTGAGGCTTATGTACCCTGATATTTTGGTAGTAGGTTAGATGGAGAGATTTGGTGGATAGAAGCTTTTGGTGAAACATTACTTTTGCTTTCTAAATTGTGCAATTTCCAAAAAAGGTATCTCAAGAAATGCAAGCACTAATGTGTTCTTCAAGCAACATGATTACATTATTGAGTTTTTTGATTATACTACTGTCTTGAAGCCATCTCTCAACTTCACAGCCACTGTAAGTTGGTATATTTATTTCCAGTCCACAGCAGTAAGTTCAGCTTAATGAAATAGAATAGGAAATAATATTTTCAATACTTTTCTAAAAATTTAAGCCAAAAAGTATATAACTTTGTTTCTTTAGATATTTGGGGCATGTAGATTTGTTTCCAAATGACTTTTGTCTAATTTTTCTAAAAAAGTGTTTTTCAACAATAAAAATATTTTTTTGAAAATGTGTTTTTTTTTTTTACAAGCAATTTATGTTAAATGTGGATTACTACACTGAAGCCTTTATTATTTAATTGGAAGAATTAGATGGTAGTCAAAAATTTCAATTTCAGTTTGGTTTTTATAATGATTGATTTTAGTTCTAGCAAGGATGTTACATTAAAAAATTATCAGCATATCTCATTTTTTTTTTAGATAATGTTGAATTATCACATTAATTGTGTGAATTTTGGCAATGAGCAAGGCGTGGTGCTGGGCAGGGCTGTGGAGCTAAGAAGGGCTCAGTCCCTATCCTTGAGTTCACAGTTTTTGTGATGGTGACAGGAAAACATACACACAACTATAACTCATGGTAGATTAAGATTAGTGTTACTAATTAATTTCTGTAGGGATTTAAAGCGGGGTTTGGCAAACTTTTTCTGCAAAGGGCTAGATAGTAAATATTTTCAGCTTTGTGGCCATGTGGTCTTCATCCCAGATACTCAGCTTTGCCAGTGTAGTGTGAAAGCAGCCATAGCTAATTTACACATAAGCAAGAGTGGAATATGCTCCAGTAAAACTTCATTTACAACCATACTGGATTGGCCTATCAGATTGCAGTAGTTGGCTGGCCTCTGATTTAAAGAGAGAAGGGGGTTGCTTGCTGAATGGGTCAGTAAAAGTTTCAGGTGGTTTCTGAGTTCAATGATCTTAACAATTTGAAAAGGTAAATTAGACAGTTTGAAAAGGTAAATTAGAAAAATTGAGGCTGCAAATAGAAATTTCTGAATGAGGTGAGTGAAACCACGGGAGTTCAGGGAGGGAGAGCTGGCTGTGGGTTAGGCATGGGGGTTTCTATGGGATGCTTTATGGAAGAGGACCCGCTAAATGGTTTTTTAAAAGACTAGTTGGGTTTTAAATGCTTGGGCATGGGAGTGGGAGGTGGGGAGCAAGATAAAAAGTGAGACAAGAAGGTGAGCTCTGGCTGGCAAGTTCAGGGTGCACTCAGGTAGTGTTTGAGGGAGACTGCTCAGGCTGTAGCACAGGAGTCAGCGGATGGGCAGCCTTGTGGTGGTGGCTGTGGGAGTGGAGAGGATGGAAGAGAGAAGACAGGACTTGGTGTTCATTGGATTTTGTGGGTGGGGAGAGGGAGGGAAAATCCAGAAATGTAAGGTCTTGCAGAATCGTGATGTTAGCAAAACTAGGAAAATGATGGGGTTGCCATTTTACATGTGTGAATTCGAGGTGGCTGGGATATCCAAGTAGAAATTTCCTGCAGGTAATTGGAAGTGTTGGGCATGAGCTCCAGAGCAAGGTTTTGGATTTAGGGTACAATCACAGAGATAACAAGCTAAGCCATAGGACTGCTGAGACCTTGGGGGAAGAGAGAACACAGGTCCAAAATTCCCACATTTAGAAAGAGGAAGGGGAAACTGGAAAGGACACTGAGAGGATGCAGAAAGAGAGGTAGGAAGTCAGGGGGTTGTTTTGGAACTGTGGAAGGTAAGGGAATCCATAAGGGAGTAATCAGTGATGTTGGATGCCTCCCAGAGAGAGGCCACTGAATCTAGATATTATAGTGCTACCAGTAATTTTTGAGAGTTCAGTTTCATGAGAATACTGCAGATGGAAACCGTATTCAATTGTACTTAAATCCTTTGCATTTTTAAATGTTTTGTTTCGACCATTAGGTGAAGGTAACCCGTGCTGATGGCAACCAACTGACTCTTGAAGAAAGAAGAAATAATGTAGTCATAACAGTGACACAGACAAACTATACTGAGAACTGGGGCAGATCTAACAATGGAAATCAGAAAATGGAAGCTGTTCAGAAGATAAATTATACTGTCCCCCAAAATGGAATTTTTAAGATTGAATTCCCAATCCTGGAGGATTCCAGTGAGCTACAGTTGAAGGTGTCATCTGTTTCCCATTATTGTGTCACTGCAACATCGTTGCAGTTGTAATCTTGTGGTGGGCACTCAACCTGTCAAACCTGAAAGTGCATAGGAAGTGGATACATGTTTCTATTTTAAAAAATGGGGAGAATGTTAAAGTAATTTAATGACAGTGGCTGAATGTTACACTAAACTTTTCCTTGTAAGTTCACTTTGAAGAGCACAGTAAAATATAGCAATGTGAAGATATGATGGAGAAGTTCCTCAAACTCCCAGTCTAGGGTTTGAGGTCAGTCATTTGAAATTTTTTTTTTTTGCAGGAACTGAAATGAAAGAGGAATATATATATATATTCCTTTCCTGTGCTTTAAAGCTATCAGTTTCTTTACAGTATAAGCCATAAATTGATGAAAATCCAATGTTGTGAATGTATTTTTCCTATGTAAGAAAAGGTGAAAATTAATTTGGTCTTTACTAATTGTTCAGCAGGTAGCGTCTTTTCTCAAGGTGTTACTAAGGGTGAATATTTACTGCTCCCTTTTCTTTTGTTATAGGCCTATTTTCTTGGTAGTAAAAGTAGCATGGCAGTTCATAGTCTGTTTAAGTCTCCTAGTAAGACATACATCCAACTAAAAACAAGAGATGAAAATATAAAGGTAATGCTTACAACTCACTTGATAATTACAATATAATCAGACTCTTTTGCTTTTGACATGTACATATTCATTAAAGTTTTATTTTCTAGGTGGGATTGCCTTTTGAGTTGGTGGTTAGTGGCAACAAGCAGTTGAAGGAGTTAAGCTACATGGTAATCTTTTATAGAATCTAAATTGATGGTCTACTGTAGAATCATGTATTTTTTCATTTTTAAGTTCAGGGGTACATGTACAGGTTTGTTATGTAGCTAAACTCATGTCATGGGGTTTTGCTGTACAGATTATTTAATCACCCAGGTGTTAAGCCTAGTACTCATTAGTTATTTTTCCTGATCCTCTCCCTCTTAACTGCCACCCTTCCATAGGCCCCAGTGTCTGTTGTTCCCCTCTGTGTGTCCATGTGTTCTCACCATTTAGCTCCCACTTATAAGTGAGAACATGCGGTATATGGTTTTCTGTTCTTGACTTAATTTGCTAAGGATAATGGCCTCCAGCTTCATCCATGTTCCTGCAGAGGACATGATCTTATTCTTTTTTATAGTTGTATAGTATTCCATCATCTGTATGTACCACATTTTCTTTATCCAGGTTAACTTTGATGGCATTTAGGTTGAGAATCATCTTAAATGGTGTCTACCTTATATCCACACTAAACTTATTAATTTTTATAACTCAGCCTCTTACCTTTTTAGCTTGTCTTTTTTATATTGCAATCAAATAAAAAACATTTTTTATTTCTTCACCTATATTTGCATTTCCTATTTAAAATAGATAATTAAATATTATGTTTAAATTTTAAATTTCTATTTGATAAGCAATACATATTCATTGTAGAAAATTATGAAATATAAGAAAAACAAAAAAGAAAATATAAAGTACTATTGATGACCATGTAATTTTGCTAATCCAACTTTCCTAATCGTGCCCTATATTTCTTCCAATCAAAATTAGATTCTTAACTATGAAGCTACTGTTGCTCCAATCAGTATTACTTTAATCTTACAATTTTCTGTTTCTCAGTGTATGCTCTCTGTGTTGGTCAGAGAGGTTTTCCTGCATTCAAAAAGACTCTGAAGCTGACTTAAGTCAAGAATTTGTGTGTATGCATACCATTATGATAAATGTAGCTTCAGTTGAGATCTTACTAGGGTTAGCAATAAATTGAACCCATCTGCTATTCTTTTCAGGTAGTATCCAGGGGACAGTTGGTGGCTGTAGGCAAACAAAATTCGACAATCTTCTCTTTAACACCAGAAAATTCTTGGACTCCAAAAGCCTGTATAATTGTGTATTATATTGAAGATGATGGGGAAATTATAAATGATGTTCTAAAAATTCCTGTTCAGCTTGTTTTTAAAAATAAGGTAAGATTTAAGGTAATGATGTTTAAAAGAAAACTTTATATTAGTGAAGTCTGAGAAATGTAATATTTCTTTAGAAAAGTATCATTAAACCAAATTGGTTAGAAATTTTTATTATTTCATTTCTAGAACTATGGTTAAACATTTTAATATTTAGCACTACATATATATTTTCACATGTGGAGTTATTGGGTATTGGTAGTCTATTTGTAGGATATGGTTCTGGTCTTTAAGATTGTAACTCAGATCATGAAGCCATTTCAGAATTTTTCAAATGATTGAATAAATGTTGCTCAGGGATGAAATTCCAGGAGTAACATAGTGTTGATGTGGTGTTGATATTGCAGTGATATAAAGGGTGTGGGAGGGAGGTAGGCCATCTAGGATAATATGTAGAAGCACAGCTAGACTTTCGCTGTCTATTTTATTAGCTGGACACTAGCCCAGGGCAACTTTTCAATAAGCTTGATTACCTTGCATGTGAGGATCTGTGTGGAGTCTGGTCTCCAAGTGCACCAGTGCCTTTTATAACCTCAAGTGACCAGCTTGAGTAGGAAATCCCTTTGGATCTCAGCTCTGAAGAAACCTGATTGAGTCACCCCATGTATATCAGAATGAACCATTGCTGTCACTAACAACTGCTGCCTTCTCAGTCTCTTACGTAAAAAATTATTGCTTTAAATAGTGATAGGCATAGTATGGTTCTTCCATTTTTTTTGCCTTTATTTATTAAAGTATTTGAGAAGTAGCAGTAGTGATCTGTATTTTTTTAAAAAAAATTATTTATTTATTTTTTGAAAGTAGGTCATGAGACTGGCTAATTTTTATATTTTTGGTAGAGACAAGGTTTTGCCATATTGCCCAGAAAAAAATAAAAAATAAAAAAGAAAGACAATTCCCAGTAGGAAGGGGTCTCATGACATTTGATTCAGTAGTCATGTGATGACTGATGATCTTTATAAAGTATTAGTAGGTCCAGGACCATGGTTTCATGACGGTAATGGCGAGGAAGTTCAGAGGGCCATGGAGACACAGAGCATGGGGTCCTGATTAGTATTTGCTCTAACCACCCACTTCCTTGGAAAGGCCTGCCCTCACCCGAAGTCCAGGTGGTTCTATGAGTCCCCTAGGAGCTCTTGTTGAATTCACTCCTAAGTTCACATCACCAACATGTAGGCATCTGCAGTTTCTGTGTTTTTCCTTTTGGATATTGGCCTTCCTCAGGTATGTTAGACAGTGCTGTCTTCTACTCAGCATTGTTTGGGATCTGAGGTGTGGGAGATAGAGAAAGGGAAGAAAAAATATACAGAATTGAAGAATAATTCAGATTTATACCACTGTGAGAAGTTTTATGACTTGTAAACACTGTAGGAGTAGTTTTTTATTTTTTTCCCTAGAGAAGGTTATGTATGGTTTTAGAATTATCCCGGGGCCAAGGCAAATGTAGAATCTGCTATATTTTGAGCCACTGATCTGTTATTGTCAAGAATATGCTTTAAAAAAGTGAAATAACTTAATTCTGCTTTCTCTCCTTCTTAGATAAAGCTATATTGGAGTAAAGCAAAGGCTGAACCATCTGAGAAAGTCTCGCTTAGGATCTCTGTGACACAGCCTGACTCCGTAGTTGGGATTGTAGCTGTTGACAAAAGTGTGAATCTAATGAATGCCTCTAATGATATTACAATGGAAAATGTGAGTTTAGCTACTTTTTAAATTATGAAAATGTGTATTACAAGAGAAAAAGGAAACTTTATTGTTACTTTAAATATTTAAAGAAAATTTCATTAGTTCTTTTGCATGTGCAAGTCAGTAATTAGTAAAGCTTCCAAATAAAAAATAATCTGTATTGTAATGGTTATGTTGGAAAGAAGCTTATGTGGCTAAGTGTCCTTGTTGTCTTTTATGAGAAATATCACCTAAAGTTAGATGGGAAGAATAAGTTCTGGAGGTCTATGGTACAACATGGTGGCTGTAGTTAATGATGATGACATACTTGAAAATTGCTAAGAGAGTAGATTTTAATGTTCTCACCACAGAAAATGATCAGTATATAGTATGCAAGGTGATAGATATGTTAATTAGCTTAATTTAATTATTGTACAGTATATACTGATATCAATCTATCGCATTGTACTCCATAAATCTATATAAAAAATGACACCTACCGTTTTCCTTCTTTTCATACTGTATTTTAAGACACTCAAGAAAGTACTAGGAAATTGACTTGCATAATTCTGGGTTACATTTGATAAGAGAGCTTTAGATAATTTTTGAAGTGTTTTCTATTTTGGTTATATGCAGTGGTTATAAATAATTACAGTGCCCATTGAATCAGGAGTCTGCAGTATACTGAGGTGGTGAAATCATGTTATTCTGCAGAAAATGTACAAACCAAGAAGTATATGTGCATCTAGCACTGCATAAATGAATTACATATTCATGAGTCATTTGGTTTTTATTTATATGTTCTTGATATATCCTTGTGCACCATTGTCAGTTGTAATCTAGACTGTGCAATTTACATCTATTAATGGATTCAGTACAGTGATTAACAATATATCAGAAAGAAAATTATATATAGTTAGGTTGATTTGGTAATTATATTGTAAAATTTAATTTGCTTGTGAAAAATTGTACATTTTCTTCAGTCTATACAACTATTTTGTTATCTTTTTTTCTGAAAACTTCTTTTTACAACCAATTGGTCATTTTTTCCTCTTTGACTTTTCCTGAGTTCACATTATTTTTAGAAGTCTATAGATCTTGCATTTGATTTAACTGAATACTATTATATTCAGTTAATATTATTATATATGGTTAATGCTATTATATTCAGTTAAATCAATAGTATTTAAAAAGTATTTAGCTTTCTAAATATCTTGGTAAATATATTATTTTATTTTTTCTTCCCTACATATGTGTATGTTTGTGTGTGTGTACACATATGTGTATACATACACACCCTTTCTGATGTGCTGCTCTCTGTCTCTTTTTATGTTAATATATAATATGTACATTTATATATATATTTCCAGTATATTTATAGATACATATATAATATATGTATATTTACATTAAATTTTCTCAGATATGAAGATTGCTTTCCTACATTTCTTTTGGTTCATATTTTCTTGGTGTATTTTTCCATCTTCTTATTTTAAACCTGTAAATTTTTAAGTGTATCTTTTAAATAGCATATTATTATATTTTGCTTTTGTTTTTCAATGTAATATAATAGTCAATAATAAGTTTTTATTGAATCCACCTATAAGTATGGTAATTCTTGTTCTAATAGGAACTTTTTTTTGCATTTTTCATATTTTAAATTTTAGACGTTTTTGTGGGCTACATTAAATTTGTTTTGCTGATTTAGAAGTTATGCTTTCTATTTTTGTTACTCTGTTAGTTAATCGCAAGCTGTACCCATGTTAATTTATTCTTGCTGATTTTGAAAGGTTATCAATACTTGAATCTTCTAGTATGCTACTATATCCTCCTGGTCTCTGTCTCCTACTCCTTGTAACCTGGCCAGATCATCCTGATTGTGTACAGATTTTAGCTCTGTGTTATCATAGATTGCCCTTTCAATCTATGCTGTTCTTTCATTTTTTAAATTGTGAAATCTGTGTTGATTATTTCTTTCTCCCTAATTTTTTTCTCTATTTCTGGGACTTTTGTCATTCAGAAATCGGCACTTTTACTTCCGTCTTCTCAGGTGAGCACGTCTGCCCTTCTAGTGTGGGCACCTTTCTTCTCTGGGAGAATTCCTCAATGGACTATTTCAGCTTAGTGATCATTCATTGGTTGTATTTGTTCTACTTTGATCTCTTATACTGTGTCTTTTATGTCAGCTATTATGTTTTTAATATCTATTATTTTCCTTTGTGTCTTGTTTTAATTTTATTATAATATTTCCCCTTATCTTCTTGTATATATTTAGTATGCATATTTTAAATTATTGAATTGACCCTTTTCAGTAATTTTGTGTCACATGCTACATGTTGTCTAGTTGAATGTCTTACTTTTACAGTAGTTATACTCTTTGGAAGTCTAGTTGATTTGGCAGCTCCTCTGATAATATCTATTGGGGAAGGCTGAGCTTCAGGTTCCAATCTGTGTAAGTCCTGTGCATCCCTTCTGAGGGGAGAGGTCTAGCCTCATGAACTAGAGACTTACTCTTGATCCTTTCTGCTGCCTGCCTCTATTCAGAGCTTCACTCTTAAACCCTTGTGGAAGGAGCACCAGTATGGGAAAGTCTCCTGAGGTTATAATTCACTAGCCCTGAGGGTTTGGAGGAGGAGGAGAGGAAGAGTGAATGCTTGAGGGACATGGGTCTGTCTGCATGTTTTCCTCACTTTCCCACACTAGAAGGGCAGAGGTGCTGATCTGGTATTATCTTTTGGATACTTGCACAGGCAGTCTGAGCTGCTACTGCTATTGATTTTGGCAGTGAAGTTGCCACAATTGTGTGTCCTGAGGCTACCCCTGCAGGGAAACGAGCAAAATTTAAAAATTTAAAAAATTTAAAAATTTTCACATAGCTATCATTTTGCATACCTCTCTTCTAGCCTGTTTTCTGACTGCTGTGTCAACTGCTGCGTCTACCGCTGCATCTAGCTGCCTTCTGCCTTAGGCTGAAGCCACCCACTTTCTCCCAAGACCAATTCAAGATGTCCGCCACTCTTCCTGGGGTTTTCTCATTGTGTACATTGAAGTTTCCTGCTTGCTTTTATTGTTTCTCCAGTTGGTTCTGGAGGAGGGAGTCAGGAGCCTGTGATAGTAGACTGTTTTGACTTCTTTTTTTTCTTGTTAAATTTACATGTGTTGTCAAAAGCCTCTTGAATGCCTTGGAATAATTTAAGTATATTGGATCTTCCAGGAATAATTTTTAGAGGTTAGCCTTCCTGTAGGTAGCCTTTGCTGCAGCTCTGACAATGCTTTGTTTATTGAGCCGCTGAGAACAGGAAGATTTCTTTATGAGATAGATGCTGCTTTTTCTTTTTTCCTTTTTTTAAAATAAATTTTACTGTGTATTTTTCAGGTTTGCAACATGATGCTATGGAATACATATAGGCAGTATAATAGTTACTGTAGTGGAACAAATTTACATATTTATCATTTCGCATAGCTACATTTTTGTGACAAAAGCAGTTAAAATCTATTTACTGAAAGCTCCAAATATCATACAGTTCTATTAACTGTATCTCCCATGTTATAGATTATATCACTGCATTTTTTTCATACTAGGTATCTGCTTTTTTTTGTCCTTTGATCTCCGTCTTCTCATTTCCTTCTTCCTTCCCCCCTCATCTCTGTAACTATCGTTTGTTTATTTGTTTATTTAAACTTTTAAGTTCAGGGTACATGTGCAGATTTGTTACATAGGTAAACTTGTGTCATGATGGTTTGTTATAGTATTCAATTGTTATGTTTCCTGATCCTCTCCCTCTTCCCACCCTCCACCCTCTGACAGGTCCTACTGTGTATTGTTCCTCTCTATGTGTCCATGTGTTCTCATCATTTATCTCCCACTTATAAGTGAAAATGTGGTGTTTGGTTTTCTGTTCCTGCATTAGTTTGCTAAGGGTAATGGCCTCCAACTTCATCCATGTACCTGCAAAGGAAATGATCTTGTTCTTTATGGCTGTGTAGTATTCCATGGTGCATATGTACCGCATTTTTAACATCCAGTCTATCATTGATAGGCATTTAGGTTGAGTCCATGTCTTTGCTGTTGTGAATAGTGCTGCAGTGAACATATGCATACGTATGTCTTTATAAAAGAATGATTTCTGTTCCTTTGGATATATACCCAATAGTGGGATTGCTGGGTCAACTGGTATTTCTGTCTTTAGGTCTTTGAGGAATTGCCACATTGTCTTGTACAATGGGCTGAATTAATTAACACTCCTACCAACAGTGTATGAGTTCCTTTTTCTCCACAACCTCACCAGCATCTGTTATTTTTTGTCTTTTAAATAATAGCCATCCATTCTGACTGGTGTGAGACACATATCTCATTCAATTGTTTGTTTTTAGACAGAGTCTCGCTCTGTCACCCAGGCTGCTGGAATGCAGTGACTTGATCTCGGCTCACTGCAACCTCCATCTCCTGGGTTCAAGCAATTGTCCTGGCTCAGCCTCTTGAGTAGCTGGGATTACTGGTGTGAGCCATCATGCCCAGCTGATTTTTGTATTTTAATAGAGACAGGGTTTCACCATGTTGGCCAGGCTGGTCTCAAACACCTGACCTCAAGTGATCCTCTTGCTTTGGCCTCCCAAAGTGCTGGGATTACAGGTGTGAGCCACTGTGCCTGGCCTCATTGTGGTTTTGATTTGCATTTCTCTAATGGTCAGTGATGTTGCACTTTTTCTCCTTGATTGTAGGCCACATGTATGACTTCTTTTGAAAAGTGTCTGTTCATATCCTTTGCCCACTTTTGTTGTTGTTTTTTTTTTTCTTGTACATTTGTTTAAGTTTCTTATAGATACTGGATATTAGACCTTTGTCAGATGCATAGTTTGCAGAATTTTTTTCCCATTCTGTAGGTTGTTTACTCTGTTGATAGTTTGTTTTGCTGTGCAGAAGCTCTTTCATTTAATTTGATCCCATTTGTCAATTTTTGCTTTTGTTGCAATTGTTTTTGACATCTTTGTCATGAAATCTTTGCCTGCACCTATAACCTGAATGGTATTGCCAGGTTGTCTTCCAGGGTTTTTATAGTTTTGGGCTTTACATTTAAGTTTTTAATCCACCTCAAGTTAATTCTTGTATAAGGTATAAGGAAGGGGTCCAGTTTCAATCTTCTGCCTATGGTTACCCAGCTTTCCCAGTACCATTTATTGAAAAGGGAATCCTTACCCCATTGCTTGTTTTTGTCAGGTTTGTTGTTGTAGATATGCAGTCTTATTTCTGGGTTCTCTATTCTGTTCCATTGGTCTATGTGTCTGTTTTTGTACAAATACCATGCCGTTTTGGTTACTGTAGCCTTGTAGTACAGTTTGGACTCTGGTAGCATGATGGCCCCAGCTTTGTTCTTTTTGCTTAGAATTGTTTTGACTATACGAGCTCTTTTTTGGTCCCATATGAATTTTAAAATAGTGTTCTCTAGTTCTGAGAAGAATGTAGTAGTTTAACAGGAATAGCATTGAATGTATAAATTGCTTTGGACAGTATGGATATTTTAACAATATTTGTTCTTCCTATTCATGAGCATGGGGTGTTTTTCCATTGGTTTGTTTATCTCTGATTTCTTTGAGCAGTGGTTTGTAGTTCCCTTGTAGAGATCTTTTGCCTTCCTAGTTAGCTGCATTCCTAAGTGTTTTATTCTTTTCCTGGCAGTTGTGAATGGGAGCTTATTTCTGATTTGGCTGTCTGTTTGCATGCTGTTGGTGTATAGGAATGTTAGTGATTTTTGCACATCAATTTTGTATCTTGAGGCTTTGCTGAAGTTGTTTAGTCAGTTTAAGAAGCTTTTGGGCTGAGGCTGTGGGATTTTCTAGAAATAGGATCATGTCATCTGCAAACAGTAATAGTTTGACTTCCTCTCTTCCTATTTGGATGCCCTTCATTTCTTTCTTTTGCCTGATTGCCCTGGCCAGAACTTCTAGTACTGTATTGAATAGGAGCATGAGAGAGGGCATCTTTGTCTTGTGCTGATAACTACTGTTTAAATGCTGCTTCTTGAATAGTTCTATGAATTGGTGTCTGAGCAAGAGCAGAAGCAAATCTTCCTGTATTTGTGTTTTGTGACAGAGTTAGAGTCATGGAGCTGAAGTGTTGTCTTTTCATTATGCCTGGCTCTGGCCCCATTGTCTTGCCAGCTTGTTGAGATATTATGACATTTTTTTCTGATTGTGTTCTTATTGGTGCCTGTTCCTGTTGCTTACTGTGGATGTAGCTGTGGTTGTTGTTAGCATTGCAGAAATAGTGGTTCCAGGCATTTAATTTTATGCTAGAATGTGTTTTTTCAACTTGTACTTAGATATTTTTGCATGATTTTTAATTCCAGCTTTGTCTTAATTTGTCTGGTTAATGCTAATGTAAATTAGGGAGAAGTATCAAAATCATTACCGGAAAAGGTGTAATACTTTAATTTTTTAATTGTAGTTAAATATAAATGAAATACAATTTGCTATTTTTACCATTTTAAGTGTTTAATTCAGTGACATTAATTACTTCAAAATGTTGTGTGACCATCACCAATATTTCCAAAACATGTTCATGGCTCCAGACAGATTCTGTAATCATTAAACAATAGCTACTCATTTCCCACTCCCCCCAGCCCTTGGCAACCTCTAGTCTACTTCTCTCTTTATGTATTTGCCTATTCTAGATATTTCATATAAATAAAATTATATAATATTGGCCCTTTTGTGTCTGGCTTATTTCACTTTGCACATTGTTTTCAAGGTTCTCCCATGTTGTAGCGTGTATCAAAACTTCATTTCTTTTTATGGCTGAATAGTAGTGTATTTTGTATATAAACCACATTTTGTTCATCGGTTTTTCTGTTGATGGACACTGGTTGTTTCCACCTTTCTTGGCTGTTGTGACTAGTGCTGCAATAAGCAGTGGCATACAGGTGTCTCTTGGAGACACTTTTGTTTTCAGTTCTTTTGGGTATATGCCTAGGAGTGGAATTACTGGGTTATATTCTGGTTCTAGGTTTAATTTTTTTATGGAGCTGCCAGTTTTACTCACTCTTTTAGCCTGTTTTACCCACTTTTGCTAGCAATGAGTACTGTTCTTAAAAACAAAGCATTGCTAATGGGGTACATGCAAATATCTCATTTTTGGAAAAAGTGTATCTCATGGATGTTGTCGTTTGCATTGCTTTGACTGTCAGTGAGGCTGAATATTTTTCTGCTTATTAATAACTTATATTTCTACTTTTATAAATTGCTTCTTCAGATTTTTTAGAAAAGTTAGGTCACTGACATTTTGCAGAGTTTATATTAACCTTCAACAAAGTTAACCTGCTTGTCTTTGCCAAAAGTGTGGGTCATTTTTAATGCTGACCTCTGCCTGTTGGTGTTGTCAAACAGTAACTGTAAGTTCTCCCTGGGAGAACTGAAGTCCAGACTTCTTAGGAACTCTGGATTGCTGAACAGAGTAAAAGTAAGGGTAAGTAAGAAACGCAATTTTGGCTGGCTGAATGATGAACAAAGCAATTCCATATTCATTGCTCCTCAATTTGTGTCATTTTCAAAGTTGATAAACATGAAGGCTAAGTTATCTAAGTTACTTGTAAGAAGTGTTGTGGAAGGCTGCTATGAATCCATTCATTCTGTATGTTTTATCTTCTCCTTAGGTGGTCCATGAGTTGGAACTTTATAACACAGGATATTATTTAGGCATGTTCATGAATTCTTTTGCAGTCTTTCAGGTATGTTTTGTTTGCTATATTGAAAAGATATTATTATTTTTTACTATTGCAAACTTTCAGAATCAGTGATCATTTTGAGATATTAACCTTTTATTAAATGTGTCACTGAAGTGCAGTCTTATGTAAGTGTAATTTGAAATGGAAAGATAATCATCTTTCCAGTTTTAAAAGCAAACAGAACAATTCACCATTAGAAAAGTTAATGGAATTGACATTAAACAAATAATTTTTTTCTTTATGTGTGTATATTGCCATATAAATATATTTCATATATATTTACTTGACTTTGAAATGGCTCTTTATGCATGAGTGTGTGTGTGTTTGAGTGAGATTGAATGTATGTGCATGTGTTTACCGACCCTCTAAAAAATGAGCAGAAGTGAGTCAAGAGAGTGGGAGACTGCTGTGATAATTTAGAGAGCATATAAACTTGTGCTTTAGAAGAAAATTAAAATTATTCTTTTTAGGAATGTGGACTCTGGGTATTGACCGATGCAGACCTCAGGGAGGATTATATTGATGGTGTTTGTAAGTAATATATGGTGACATACTTGTATTTGTCTTTCACCTGATGTTCAACATTACTCACATAGGGATGGGTATTTTCTAGATGAACATAGAGATTACGATTTTCATTTTTCCATTCTCTTGTCCTAAAACATTTCTAGTTTAATGTACTTGGAAGTATATCTGGGCCATGACATGGAATGTTCACCTGAGCTCCTGTTTAGATCTTTGAAGTGAATGCTTTCCATTTTCTCTTGGTAATTCTTTGAGATAGTTATATTTTTGGACATATTGGAAGCTGCTGTGCCTCCAATTTGTATCACAAACTGTGCTATTCTTTTGGAATTATTTAAAAGGAGCAACATATTTTTGAAATGTTTTTGTTCTCTAGCTTTTTGAAGTTCAAAAATAGCCCAGATGCCATCATGCCATCAAGTATTCTGGTACACACACACACAGAGAGACACACACACAGAGACACACACACACTCACACACAATCCTCATCAATCTGAGTTCTTCCTGGATGGGTCATATCTGCACATCTTAGTTTCTTGGATTGCTAAATAGAGTTGGCTACCAAATAATTATAAATGTGCTTTTAGAAAGAAGTCATGAATGTTTTGACTGAAGGAAATGTATAAATTAGAATAGTTAACCTTAGAAAGGATTCTCTTTTCTTTCAGGTAAAATTATACTAAAAAATATCATCTTGAAAGGCTTCTAGAACTCTCAGTTTCTATCCCTGAATTCCCTGTTTCTGTCAGGATTTCTGTTATTCCATACTAAGCCCTGGGGTTTCTTTGGGCTGGTTCTTGCTGCCCCAGGACACCTGATCCTCTGTCCTGAAACATAAAAGATGCTATAGTCTTGAAGATGCCTTGAAGTCATTATCATCTCTCTATATTAAAGATATGTGGTACATTTAGCTTTCCTCATATAACCTTCTATCCTAAACAATGTTCCAAGCATCTTTTTCCATTTGTTAATCTCAGCTTTTACCCACCTTTGTTCTTTTTTATGTATCAAATTCTTCCTAATGCCTACTGTAATACCCATTCTATTGCCAGTAATACTTACTGCATCCTTTACCTTTTCTGCAAACCTTCTTGTACCTTTTCACTGTAATGGAAGGAACCTTCTACTCTCACTGGCACATTATGTCTCTGAACACCTTCTCAAGTGATCAACATTTGTTCTGTGCATGGAGTTTACAATTCGTTCTCTTTGGTGACAGTTTTTCTAATTATTGTTAATGTTTATTTATAGATGACCATCCAGAGTATGCTGAAAGGTTTATGGATGAAACTGAAGGACATATAATAGATATTAATGGCTTTTCTTTGGATAGCAGTCCACGTGTCCGAAAACACTTTCCAGAGACTTGGATTTGGCTAGACACCAACATGGGGTAAAAATGTATAAAGTTCTTTGCCCATATATATTTTGTTTAGTGTCTGTGGTAAATAAGCTTTGCCCTCTTTCTAATGTTTAAGTCCAAACATAATGTAACTAAGAACTAAGTAGACTGAAAGGATTATTTTGGAAATTACATTTATTGAATCTAAATGCCGTTTTTGATAAAGCCACACACAAATTATGGCAGGAAGATTTCATCAATGAGAAGACAGGCCTTTTTTGAATGAAGGCTAATTTTAACTTCCTTGAAGTCTTGTGATTCTTGTTAGAGAAAATTGCTGGGAGTACATTTGTTGTCACAGGGTGGGAAGCACTCATGATTACCTCCTGCAACCCCTGGCAGTGCTGCTAACTGAACCCTGTTCCTCACAGAACGTTCCCAGGAGTCACAGGGACAAGGGGCATGGGTGGTGGAAGGAATTCAGCTTAGCTGATAAACCCCATACTACCTGGCCTGATAAGTGAGCAGGTAAATCATGAAATCCACATACTATTTTATGGTCAGCTGTTTAAAGATAGTTGAGTTAACACGTGAGTGAAATCTCAAGAAACAAATAACAGCATTGACAGGGATACAGATAAACACTTTTCGGCAAATTTAGAGGAAAAATTAGAATTAAGTTTGAAAATGTGTATTTATTATCTGCACAAAATTTGTGGAATAAATGTTTATTCAGAAGTGTAAATATTGCAGGAAGCTTTTATTAGAATATGGATCAATGTGCAGTATTATGACCTTATGATAATCTATTCTTTGAGAAATTGGGATCTATTATTTTATACTTAAATCTTTTAAATGGTCTTAAATTCAGATATGTAAACAATGTGAAAATTTGAAATTCTTTCAAAAATAGTTTAGGTTATGGTGCCTTATTCAGAAATATATCCGTTCTTGGTTTTGTGATGTTTATGTTTATTGTATTGACTTCAGTTCCAGGATTTACCAAGAATTTGAAGTAACTGTACCTGATTCTATCACTTCTTGGGTGGCTACTGGTTTTGTGGTTTCTGATGACCTGGGTCTTGGACTAACAACGACTCCAGTGGAGGTATTGTATTAAAGAGCTGCTTACCAATGTTACAGTGACATTAAGCTAACAGAGTGTCAGCTCCTCAGTGGATTTTTTAAAAAAAAGATTGCTTATAATATTTATCACAGTTTAGAGATTCCTTGGCTTTGTCTATGCTATTTATCTGTTTTATATTTGAGAATGTGAGCTATATGTAACTATATAAACTGCTAAGTGTGTGAAATCCATATTAAGATTTGGGTAGAAAAGTTTATTATTGACCTGAACTAACCATCTCCAAAGGCCAGAAGAGAGAGACAGAGAAAGAAAAAGAGAAAGAGAGAGAGGAGAGGAGAGAAGAGAGTGTAAACAGTGGTACTGTTTATAATAGCAAAGACCTGGAACCAACACAAATGCCCATCGACAATAGACTGGACAAGGAAAATGTGGCACATATACACTATGGAATACTATGCAGGCATACTATGCAGGTCGTTTCATGTGTCCTCTTCAAGAATGAATAGAACTTCTCAAGTTGTTCCCTAGCCAGTATTTCATCATGTCTTTTAGTCAAATTGCATCGTATATTGGTTCCTAAATCAGTCACTGGCAGGAGGAATATGATGACCATGAGTGGCCTTCGACCAGTAGCTCTCACTTTAATTTTACCTGAAGCCCCCTTTTATAACAGACATTTTGTGTTGCCTTTTTACCATCTCCAGATGAAATTCATAGAAAGTATAAGATACCTGTATATACAACTTTCTAAAAAACATTGGTATGTGATTATTAGAGAAATGCAAATCAAAACCACATTGAGATACCACCTCACACCAGTTAGAATGGTGATCATTAAAAAATCTGGAGGCACAGATGCTGGAGAGGATGTGGAGAAACAGGAACGCTTTTACACTGTTGGTGGGAGTGTAAACTAGTTCAACCATTGTGGAAGACAGTGTGGCGATTCCTCAAGGACCTAGAAATAGAAATTCCATTTGACCCAGCAATCCCGTTACTGGGTATATACCCAAAGGATTATAAATCGTTCTATTATAATGACACATGTACATGTATGTTCATAGTGGCACTGTTTAAAATAGCAAAGACCTGGAACCAACAGAAATGCCCATTGACAATAGACTGGACAAGGAAAATGTGGCACATATACACTATGGAATACTATGCAGGCATAAAAAATGATGAGTTCATGACCTTTGTAGGGACATGGATAAATCTGGAAGCCATCATTCTCAGCAAACTGACACAAGAACAGAAAATCAAACATCTCATATTCTCACTCATAGGCGGATGTTGAACATTGAGAACACAGGGATATAGGGAAGAAAGCATCACATACTGGTGTCTGTTGGTGGGAGGGCAGAGGGAGGGACAGCGGCAGGTGGAGGGGAGGTCGGGGAGGGATAACATGGGGAGAAATGCCAGATGTAGGTGACAGGGGGATGGAGGCAGCAAACCACATTGCCATGTGTATACCTATGCAACAATCCTGCATGATCTGCACATGTACCCCATAACCTAAAGTACAATTAAAATAAAAGAAGAAAAAATCAGTATGCCCTAAGTGAAAGACTAAGGAGAAATAAAAGGAAAGTAATGTATAATAAAATAATATGTATTTCATTATGAAAGTAATCAGACATAGCAACATACTGAAATATTTATGCTGTGCGTAGAACCAACCTGCATGTAACAGCTACAAATGCAGTTTGATATATGTGTATTGTTTCAGTAACTCAAAAACCTTGAGTGATGCTGCCTGTGGTGGTATGCATTTTCAAAATGGTGACTGATTTTTGGTAAAGTTATAACTAAAACAAATTGCAGTTGTCTTGTTTGAAATGAAATGAATTGTCTCCTTTGAAATGTAATTTCGATTTACAAAATAAGTGTATTCATGAAAAATTCAGTGTATATTGAAAAATGCTTTGGGTTTATGTAGAAATTAGAATTAGACTGTAAATTATAAACAGGCAGTTCAACTACCTGAATGTCTGAAGGGACATTCAAGAATCATGAGAACACAGGGCCAATTTTTCATTGTCTGGGACTATCCTCAGTATGGCAGACGGTCACCCAGTAACTACTGAAAGCACCCTGGTGTCATGGTGACAATCTAAGGCACCTTCACAAATGTCTAGATAAAGTCTAGAGGGAGTTACGACTGCCAGCAAAACCACTGGCCTAAACTAATCAAGGTTTAGTTTTAGATGCCAGGGTGGGACTTGGCCTTTTCTGTGGGACTTGGCCAATTGGATCGCTGAGGAGGAAGCACATGTATTCACGTGTCCCACACATCTTCTCATCTGTATGTAAAAATAAATCATATATATGTTTTAGAAATAATTGTCAATTTCCTCTTTAAATTTAGTCAGAAAGTACATGTATTTAGATGTCCCACTCTAGAACAGGGGCTGTTGGATTTGGCAGGGTTTTTAAAGCAGACTGGTGGAGTTGACACAGTATGAAAGAAGAGCAAATTGCTTTGGGATTAGACAGGCTGGATTCTAGTTCTGGCTCCTCTACTTGCCAACAATATGAATTTGTACTAGTTACAAAGATCTCTAAAATTTAATTTTCTTTTGTATAAAATAGGAGCCTAACACTAATCTCATAGGGTTGTACTGACCAAACAAAATAATTTATGTAAAGTGCTTGTACTAGTAGGCACTTAATAAAGTATAGAGATTATTAGGTTAAGTAACATAAGTCAATTTGCCATCATTCATTTGTGATAAGTTGCTGTTTGCTTTCCGTTGATAGACATTTCTAGGTGAAGTTAAAAACTTCACAGGTTTTATAAAGATTGTATTTGATTGCATAAAATGTGAAGAATTTTGACCTGAATGAAAATATGTACTCACTGTGCTCTTTCCAGCTGCAAGCCTTCCAACCATTTTTCATTTTTTTGAACCTTCCCTACTCTGTTATCAGAGGTGAAGAATTTGCTTTGGAAGTAACTATATTCAATTATTTGAAAGATGCCACTGAGGTAATATATTCAAGCTTTTGTTGATCATTTACATTCAGGAAAAAAATGGAGGTAGCGTGAAGGGATTGGGTTGTATAGTGTCTGGGCATTTGGGATTCTAAGCACTTTATACATTTCTGGGAGACTGAAAATAGATATATCTTGCCAGTGATTTCTTCTGCTAATTAATGTCTAATCATTAGCATGTCTACACCTTCCCTCCTTGAATTTTTAGCATAAGTTTTTCGCTTTCACCAGGGAAGTTCTTTATTGTCTTTGAAGCATGCCTTTTTCTTTCCTGTCTCCCTACATGTCTCCTTGGTTTTTCCCACATCTAGAATGTGTGGCCACTTCTCCCTGCTACTCTGTGCCCACTGCAGTTTTTTGTTTTTTTTTTTTTTTTAGACTGAGTCTTGCTTTGTCTCTTAGGCTGGAGTGCAATGGTACTCTCTTGGCTCACTGCAACTTTAGCCTCCCAGGTTCAGGCAATTCTCCTGCCTCCACCTCCAAGTAGCTGGGATTACAAGTGTGCACCACCAAGCCAGGCTAATTTTTTGTGTTTTTAATAGAGACAGAGACAGAGCTTTTCCATGTTGGCCCGGCTGATCTTGAACCCCTGGCCTCAAGTGATCTGCCTGCCTCAGCCTCCCAAAGTGCTGGGATTACAGGCATGAGCCTCTGCATCCGACCACCATTCTGTTACATTTGTAACCTCCATGTTTATATTTTCAAGGATTCGCCTACCTTGTATTTCTTAGCTAGTCATTTCCCTGGGAGGCTGGAGTTAGGTCCACTATTTGTGTTATGCCCACAGTATGTTAACCAAATGATTGATTTTTCCTCTCCCAAGAATAAGTAGGGATATATAATTAACTTTATTACATACATGAAAATGCTATAATCTCTGTTGGCACTTTATATATAGAGTAATTTTTTTAATTAAAATTTTAATTTTTTAAGCTTTTTATTGGCATATTTGGCTGACAATGCGGGAAATAATTTTTTTTATTTTTTAATTTTACTTTTTAACCCAGTAACAAGTAAAAGATCTAGAGCCAAAAGGCCTGAATTCATTCAGTCTACCTTTTACCAGCAAATGACTTAATTGTCCTTCCTCATCTGTAAAATGGAAATGACAACTATTATACCCACAGACGATATTCTGAGAAGCAGGAAAACATCAATGGAAAAATAATTTATAAAATGTAAAGCCTAGAGAAATGCTATTTTTGATGAACTGGCAACTTTGGGATAATTTACAAAAGTTTACAACCAAGATATGCTTCAGGACTAATGTCTGAGTTGTACTTTCATTGGATTAGTTTTTACAGCGACTTCAATGAATTCAATAATTTTTCATGCTGTTTTCTTCATATTTTTCTAATGGGACCGGTATGTCCCATTAGTGGGAGGACTAGAAATGGGGCTGAAGAGTGCCCTTTCCCCATGCATCTTGAAGTTGAGGGGAAATCGTAGAAAATAAGTGAAACTTTTCCTGATACCCTTTGAAACTCTCCTTGGCCGAATCTTTGTCTCATCTCTTCTCTGGTCTTGAGCCCCACAGATTGAACAGTACTTAAAGTGGCAATAAAAGAGCACTTTACTGAAGAACACTTATTGTACAAAAACTTTGATTTATTTTTTTTCTTTCAGGTTAAGGTAATTGTTGAGAAAAGTGACACATTTGATATTCTAATGACTTCAAATGAAATAAATGCCACAGGCCACCAGCAGACCATTCTGGTTCCCAGTGAGGATGGGGCAACTGTTCTTTTTCCCATCAAGCCGACACATCTGGGAGAAATTCCTATCACAGTCACAGCTCTTTCACCCACTGCTTCTGACGCTATCACCCAGATGATTTTTGTAAAGGTGAATATTTGATATCTGAAATAAGTGAAGTAGAAATACATATTTAAAAAGGAAGCAGAGGATTTTTTTTCTCTTGGTTAAATTTTTTGGCATATCTAGTAGGCCGTCGTTTTACCTTTCTGGTAATGCCTAATCATTTTCTCATCTGTATGTAAAAATAATCGTATATATGTTTTAGAAATAATTGCCAATTTCCTCTTTAACTTTAGTCAGGAGCTTGCCTATAAAGACTAACAGCCCTTTTACAGTCATTTACATCTACAGACGGTGTTATGTTGCGATCCTGTGAAAACATGGTCAAGTCGATTGGTAGATTTAGAACTTTGGAATTTTCAGTGAAGGTAAAAGAGATTTTCATAGATTTTTTTTCAAAGATATTCTAGACAGAAAGACAATAAGCATAGTGACTAAACACTTGCATTCTGGGGTGAGGCAACCCTGTGTTTGAATCTCAGTTTTGCCAAGTATGATTTTGAACAAGGCATTTAATCTCCTGCTCTTTGGATAATAATAGCAGCTACCTGAAAGGGTTTTTCTCCTCACATTTTCATCTTCTTCTTTGTCATTTTCATGGTCAGTCCATGAGATGTCTTATCTAATTTAACTAGAACTTACTAACAGATTTGAAATAAGAATAACAAAGTGGTAGGCACTGTGTCATCAGATTTAATTCAGTTCCATGGAAATGGTGCTAATTAAGTGTAAATCCTGTTGAAAAGCACATTTCAGTTAATGACTTTGTGAGAAAATCTAAAAGTAGGAAAAATTAATTAAAGTTATGGTAATTTGTTTTAATACCAACTAACAGGAAAAACTCATTCTGTGAAACGAATGTATTACTTGTTTAAATAAAATATCTGATTTAAAGAAAACAAAAGAAGAAATGGTAGGTGCTTATTTAGCCATACACAAACCTCAGACACAACAGGTCAGATTTTTGTGCTCATATCTGTGTATAGTTCTCTGTAAATATGTGAGTAGAGACCATGTTAATTGTGTTCCTTTTACTCAACAGGCTGAAGGAATAGAAAAATTATATTCACAATCCGTCTTATTAGACTTGACTGACAATAGGCTACAGAGTACCCTGAAAACTTTGAGTTTCTCATTTCCTCCTAATACAGTGACTGGCAGTGAAAGAGTTCAGATCACTGCAATTGGTAAGAATAGAGGATATCACCATCTGTTGGTTTCATTTTATCTGATCATATATGTTGTTTCTTAAAGATATGTTTTCTTATTGAGTCCTAATGAGAAGAGATTTCAAAAATTTTTAGTTGGTTTGCCAGTATTTTATTGAAAATTTTTGCATCTATGTTCATCATGGATATTGGCCTGAAGTTTTCTTTGTTTGTTGAGTCTCTGCTGGGTTTTGGTATCAGGAAGATGTGACGGGGGGGATGGAGGCAGGAAACCACATTGTCATGTGTGTACCTATGCAACAATCCTGCATGATCTGCACACGTATCCCAGAACCTAAAGTACAATTAAAAAATTTTTTTAGTTGGCCCCAACAATGGATTATATTATGAAGGCTGGCAAATTATGTATCCTAGGCTAGTTCTTCTCAGTCTTCAATGTGCATAAGAATCACCTGGGAGTCTTGTTTAAAAGCAAATACTGGTTTAGCAGGTGTGGAGCAGGGCCTGGGAATCTGCATTTCGAACAAGCTCCTAGATGTTGGTGATACTTTTGGCTTCCAGAACACACTTTGAGTGGCAAGGCCTCACTCTACCATGGCTGGAGAAAGGGGTTATTCCTAAGAGCAGAGCTTCTGGCTTCTGTGGCTCTCCACCACTGGTGAATATCAGAATCTTCTAAGGAGCTCCGTAAATACACAAACTTCTGGGCTCTACTCTAACCCTACTAAGTCAGAATTGCTTGGGCTATGGCTTGGTCATGTATATCTTAAAAAGCTTTCACAAGTGATTCAGGTAACCAAAGATTGAGTACTACTGCCTAGAGCAGTTCTCTGTGCAGGATATGAGTAACCTTTACAGTAGGAAGTTACCCACTGACTTCAGTCACTTCTCCTAGTTGCTTTCCATAACATAAAAGTACTTTTCAAAAATTGACAATTTATAGTTGTGTAAATTTGTGGAATACAGTGTGATATTATCATTTATGAATACAATATGGAATAATTAAATCAAGCTGGTTAACGTATTAATCACCTCAAATACTTAACTGTTTTTTGTGGGGGTAACATTTGAAATTTGCTCTCTTAGCAATTATTTTTTTGATGGAGTCTTTCTGTCACCCAGGCTAGAGTGCAGTGGCAGGATCTTGGCTCACTGCAACCTCCGCCTCTTGGGGTTCAAGTGAGTCTCCTGCCTCATCCTCCTGAGTAGCTGGGATTACAGGCATGTGCCATCATGCCCAGCTAATTTTTGTATTTTTAGTAGAGATGGGGTTTTGCCCTGTTGGCCAGGCTGGTCTCAAATCCCTGACCCCAGGTGATCCACCCTCCTTTGCCTCCCAAAGTTCTGGGATTACAGGTGTGAGCCATGGCACTCAGCCTCTCTTAGCAATTTTGAAATGTACAGTACTCTGGTTATTAACTACAATTTTCCATGCCAAAAGTGCTTTTTCTTTTTCTTTTTTTTTGAGACAAAGTCTCTCTCTGTAGCCCAGGCTGAAGTGCAGTGGTGTGATTTTGGTTCCCTGCAACCTTCACTTTCTGGGTTCAAGTGATTCTTGTACCTCAGCCTCCCATGAAGCTGGGACTACAGCTGTGTGTCACGATGCCTGGCTAATTTTTTGTATTTTCAGTAGAAACCGGATTTCACCATGTTGACCGGGCTGGTCTCAAACTTCTGACCTAAGGTGATTTGTCCACCTTGGCCTCCCAAAGTGCTGGGATTACAGGCATGAGCCATTGAGCCAGCAGCCTAAAAGTACTTTTTAATTAAACATAGTGTCTACACAAATGGTGTTGTTAGTCAGGGTTTTCTGGAGAAGCAGAACCAATAGGAGATACTTATATATAACAGGAGATTTATTATGAGGAATTGGCTCATGCAATTATGGAGGCTGAGAAGTCCCATGATCTGCTTTTGCAAGCTGGAGATCCAGGAAAGTCGGTAGTTTAATTCACTCTGAGTCCAAAGGCCTGTGAACCAGGGGAGCTGAAATCCCAGTCCTAGGAGAAGATGAGATGAGGTATCTCAGCTTAAGTAGCAAGGCAGGAAAAAAGCGGTGATTCCTCCTTCCTCAAGCTTTTGTCTATTCAGGCTCTCAATGGATTGGATGGTGCCCACACACGCTGGGAGGACAATCTGCTGGACCCAGTTCACCAGTTCAAATGCTGATGTCATCTAGAAATACCCTCACAGTCACCCAGAAACAATACTTAATCTAGGAACCCCATGGTCCACTTAAGTTGACACACAAAATTAACCATCACAAATGGTTTGTTTATATAGCTGTGCTTTACAAATAACTGAAGAAAACAGTTTAATTAATGACATCTAATAGTTTGTTAGATCTTTAAGGTATAATTATTGACATCTAATACTTTGTTGGAGCTTTAAGGTGGCAGGACCTAAAACACTTTTTTATAGTTCTTTTATATTTCACCAGCAGGTGTAATGCTTTTCATTATAACCCAAACAACCAATCTGTAGGCAGATGACTTTATTTGGAGAGTTAGATATAATTTTTCTCTTTTGGGGGAAGAGACAGAGTTTAGCTATGTTTGCCCCAGGCTGGACTTGAATTTCTGAGCTCATGCAGTCCTCCCGTGTCAGCCCCTTGCATAGCTGGGACTACAGGCCTGCACCACTGTGCCTGGCCAGTTCTTAAAAGGAATTAAATAAGCTATCTCTTTAAGGGAATAAATTCTGCTTAAGCATCTCCCACAGTGTTGGGGTGCTGGGAAATGCACTACACACACACACACACACACACACACACACACACGTGCACGCACATGCACACATATACACAGAGGGAAGGAGCCTGGCATTTTAAGTATATACCACCACTCCTTACATAGGAACGATTCTATCTGTGGTCATGGAAATAACCCGAGGCTTAATTTTTATGCTTGATGTAAAGAATGGATTTTCAAGGTTTATTTTCACATTTTCTAAAAAAAAAAAGACCTATTTTGTAGCTCAGAATGTACAAATTTTAACTCGCTTCTTTGAACTTTGAGAGTCTAAGTTTATGTTCACTTTGAATATGAAACGTATACTCTGCAGTGGTAATAATATAACCTCTATTTCTTTGTATTCACATCTAAAGTTCAAGCTATGCTGGCACAGCTTCAGCTTATTCATATGAAACAGGGTTTTTTCCCCCCTTTGTTAATATTCATTTTTTAGGATCACATTTTCACTAGGTATTTGGATTTGGCATTGTATAAGTTTTCAAAATAAACTACATAGAAAGATACTCTTATCTATACAGCTTAACAATGGGAGGATCAAAATTAGAACAGCCTTCATATTTCTGAATTTTTACTACTCTCTGTAAGTTGCGGTGTTAGCATGTGGGTAGAGGGTTTTTTAAAGGGTGTTTTGTTTAATTTTAGGTTACTGACTTTGAAGAATATTCCTAATTCTTTTAGGAATTAATTGAAATACTTATATTTGTTTTTGCTAAATAGAACACATTGAAAAATACTACAATCTTCATTTTTTTTTTTTTTTTTTGAGATGGAGTCTAGCTCTGTCACCCAGGTTGGAGTGCAGTGCTGTGATCTCGGCTCAGTGCAACCTCCGCCTCCTGGGTTCAAGTGATTCTTCTGCCTCAGCCTCCCAAGTAGCTGAGGTGCCTGCCACCACACCCAGCTAATTTTTGTATTTTTAGTAGAGAGGGGGTTTCACTGTGTTGGCCAGGCTGGTCTCAAACTTCTGATCTTGTTATCTGCCTGCATCGGCCTCCCAAAGTGCTGGGATTACCACCATGAGCCACTGCGCCTGGCCTTTTTTTTTTTAAATTATTTCTCAACTGCTTGTGGTATATTATCAAGGAATAAGAATAAAATTTTCTTTGTGTGAAGAATACTACTAACAAAACATTTCTTTCCTGTATAAGTGATAGTGTTCTACTAATCAATTCCTTACATTTTAAAAAATATTTTTTAAAAAGTTATTTTTTGCTTAATTTACGCTGTAAGCTTTAACTGAGCTAAAAATGTCCTTTTTATTTTATTTTATTTTTTTGAGACGGAGTTTCGCTCTTGTTACCCAGGCTGGAGTGCAATGGCGTGATCTTGGCTCACCGCAACCTCCGCCTCCTGGGTTCAAGCAATTCTCCTGCCTCAGCCTCCCAGGTAGCTGGGACTACAGGTGTGCGCCACCATGGCCAGCTAATTTGTTTTTGTATTTTTAGTAGAGACGGGGTTTCACCATGTTGACCAGTATGGTCTCGATCTCTTGACCTCGTGATCCACCCGCCTCGGCCTCCCAAAGTGCTGGGATGATAGGCGTGAGCCACCGCTCCCGGCCAAAAATGTCCTTTTTAATCACATGATTTGCAAGTTCACTACCAAAGCATTGTTATTTTTTGACCAGTCTTTCTAAAAAATTGATGTAAAATGTCAACTCTGTTCTAAGCAGTGGAATCATATAGCTTCAATGACAGAGGCCTTCTCTACTCAGTGGAAGTCTCTTTGCCACCAGCAGGTGGTAGTTACTGAATATTTACTGAATGAATTGCATGTCTTGTGCTTTCAGGAGATGTTCTCGGTCCTTCCATCAATGGCTTAGCCTCACTGATTCGGATGCCTTATGGCTGTGGTGAACAGAACATGATAAATTTTGCTCCAAATATTTACATTTTGGATTATCTGACTAAAAAGAAACAACTGACAGATAATTTGAAGGAAAAAGCTCTTTCATTTATGAGGCAAGGTAAGCATTTTAGAGACCTACATTTGTTTGTAAAAAAATTGTTTTTTTTTTCAGGTAGGGTTCACTTTAGACCATATTTCAAATAGATGGATTTTGTCTCAGGTAGGTGATGGGCTACATGGTGTTGACATGTGCAGGAAGTACAAACACTGAAAAGCTGTTCCTTTAGCAAACTGTTCACTCATGGCTGCTACGATGTTTGTTAGTAATGGCTTAAGAGTTAGTTTCTGGAGGGGGTATAATTTTGTATTATACTAAGGGATCTGAAATTTAAAACTCAGATCCTTAAAAATCTAGAGGAACCCTCATTCATTCATTATTTACACATTTGTGGAGTGTCTTTTAGTGCCAGGATCAGATCGAGTGCCAAGAAAAGAGAGGGAGCCAGGGCCTCTCTTCTTCTTCTTTTTGTTTTTTGTCTTTTTTTAAGAAAAAACATATATATATATATATCTGTATATATATATATTATTGCATTTTAGGTTTTGGAGTGCATGTGAAGAACATGCAAGATTGTTGCATTGGTGCATACATTGCAATGTGGTTTGCTGCCTTCCTCCCCATCACCTATATCTGGCATTTCTCCCCATGTTATCCCTCCCCAACTCCCACCTTCCGCTGTCCCTCCCCTAGTTCCCCCCAACAGACCCCAGTGTGTGATGCTCCCCTCCCTGTGTCCATGTGTTCTCATTGTTCAACACCCGCCTGTGAGTGAGAACATGCGGTGTTTGATTTTCTGTTCTTGTGTCAGTTTGCTGAGAATGATGGTTTCCAGGTTCATCCATGTCCCTACAATGGACATGAACTCATTGCTTTTTTTGGCTGCATAGTATTCCATGGTGTATATGTGCCACATTTTCTCTGTCCAGTCTATCATCGATGGGCATTTGTGTTGGTTTCAAGTCTTTGTTATTGGGTGAAAGATATGAACAGACACTTTACAAAAGAAGACATGTATGAGGCCAACAAACATCTGAAAAAATGCTCATCATCACTGGTCATTAGAGAAATGCAAATCAAAACTATATTGAGATACCGTCTCATGCCAGTTAGAATGGCGACCATTAAAAAATCTGGAGACAACAGATGCTGGAGAGGATGTGGAGAAATAGGAGATGCTGGAGAGTATATGGAGAGTATGTGGAGAAATTTACACTGTTTGTGAGAGTGTAAATTAGTTCAACCTTTGTTGAAGACAGTGTGGTGATTCCTCAAGGACCTAGAAATAGAAATTCCATTTGACCCAGCAATCCCATTACTGGGTTTATATCCAAGGATTATAAATTGTTCTATTATAAGGACACATGCACACGAATGTTCATTGCAGCCTCTCTTCTTAATGAATTCGCTGCTGAGTGGAGAGGATGGTTTGTATGTAAACCGACGCAGTGCCGTGTGGTGGAGACCTTCTTGGTGCATTTAAAATGTCAAGCAGATAGGGGTTAAGAGAGAAATGTTTGTATGAGGAGGACCTGCTGGACCCTGAGGACATGCCATGCTAGTAAAGACTGTATCCTGACACCTTGAAAGGTGGAAACTGTTCACAGGCACCACATCCTTTGTTCTGGCAACTTGTTAATAATAGCAGTTAACGTGAGTTGAGTGTGTACTATGTGGCAGGCAGTGTTCTAAGCACTTTACATCTCATACCTCATTGAAGGCTCACAATTTGTATTAGCATGCTCCTGTTTTTTGCAGATGAGCAAGCTGAGGTGTGGAAAAGTTAGCTAGCTTGCCCAGGGTCATGTAGTCATATAGAGCTGGGATTTGGACTCCGCCTATGCTCTTGACATCCACACTTAGGAGGAAACAAAGGGATGTGAAACATATTTAATAATAATGGTAAATTTGATTTTCTAAATACTCCAAAGCCAACCAAAAGTTACAGTCTCAGTTTTACATTTCCTTATCAGTAGACCTCTAGCACAAACTCTCTGTGGCTGAGTTTTTCTCTCTGCATAATTTGTATGATATATTCTGTCCATCAAACTCATGAGGGTTAGAAGGGCTCACAGAAACTGATTAAAAATAAGAACTCACTATAATCTAAGAAAAATGTAGTTCAATACCTCCTAACTGCTAATTTTTTTTTATGACAAATGGATTAAATGCAAAGTAGAGGCACACTATTGTTTACTAATTTCTCCACAGGAGAATTAGAAACTCATGTTAGTGTCATTGTGTAGATACCTGTTTATTCTAAACTAATTCTATGTAATGACAGTAATAGCAACTAACTCTGTATAAATGTTTTATGCATGTTTCATTTAATTCTCACAAAACTCTAGGAATAGGTGTAGTGTTATTATTTCCATTTTACAATGAGGAAATTGAGGTGCAGAGAGGTTAAATAACTTACCCATGGTTTTCCCCAGGTGGTCTGGCTCCAGAGTTCACCTTGTTCCTCAGCACACTATGGGATGATTCTAATCTGTGAGGTTCTCAGGTTGTGAGAAGCAATGGGGTATGCGGGAAAGGACCAGGAACTGGGGCAGGATGCTTCAGTATCACCACCATGTATGAAGTCTCATTGAAGGTTCTGATAAAATAGTAAGGGAGGAACATGGAGTCCTGTAGGGAAGGAGGCACCAAAGGTTAGAATATGGGTTGTCGGATTAGACTGAAGTGAGCAGTAAGGTGTTGGGTTTAAGTAGATGAGCTGGAATCAGTGTCCAAAGATCTCCCTGGGATAGGATGGCACAGACACAGGCTGAGTGGGAGCCAAGGGGTTGAAGATCAGGAACAATACAGTGTGTGAGGCCACAAACCAAGGGAGACCAGGGTTTGGAATCAGGGTGGGTGTGGCCTGAGTTCTGATGTGGGGAATGACATTGTGATATATCTTCCCTTAGATTAGGGCCAGACCTTGCAGACACTGTGGCCAGCCCTGAAATGCAGCAGGTGGTTAGGTCTTCTGGGAAATTTGCAGAGATCCAGCAGTTGGAATTTCCTGTATAGAGTTGCTTATGTAAAATTATCCTTGTTTATACACATTTGTGGATTGGTCATGTTTTAAATATACACATGCAAGAATAACCTTTTTTAAGTGGTACCAAGTGGTCTCTGGGTATATTGTGTGCCATGCTAAAAACAAATAAGATCTTTACACATTGGCATAATGGCTGTAATTAAGGAGATAAGTAAAAATTATTTGGAATTGTCATGTTGAAATTTGTACCTTTTGAAAACAAGTTTCCAGTTTGTATTTAAGATTTAGTTTGTCTGGTTTCAAGTAGAAACTACAATGGAATTAGATTGGTGCTTTATAATTTGGTATACATTCTTTGGAGTATTTTAATAAAATAAGGTAAAAAATTTTAGAAAATGCCTCATAATTCCATATTTTTATATACTTTTATGAACTGTAACTTTGGCTAATCAAATATTAATGCTTTAAAAAAATAGGATAAATTTTATGTAGCTTGAAACATTTAAGCCATGAAAACTCATTCCTTAAAAATAATTTCAGTATGTATCCTAGATACTTTTGCTGCACATCAGCAGTGTTCCTGCAAAATGAATGGTCCAAAATCCTTAGCATCTGTTGTTTTCCCAAAGCAGTGCTAGCCCCTTAGGTCAGTCCCGGTCAGGTAGGTGGCCAAACTGTAGTTTTTCAAGGTAACCCAGTGAAGATCTCTTATGATTGCCCGAGACCCCTCTTCACATTGGTTGGTTGTTAGAAGGTGCAGAGTGGCCAGAGTGCAAAAAGAGCATTGTTCTCTAAATGCCAGGTAGTCCTCTCAAGAGTTGAGAATGCTGAGCACTGCAGCTGTACAGTAGGTGAATTTCCCCTTGAGAGGAAGTAGATCAGGGGCATAGCACTGGCTGTGGAGGCAGTCAGACCTGGGCTGGAGTCCTGACTCCCCACTTGGGCCAAGTCCTTAGCCTCTCCAAGGCTTGGTTTTCTCACCTGGAAGACAGGGATAATATAAGCACTCACTTGGTGGGGTCGTTTGGAGGAGACAGTGAGAAATGTCAGCATTTTATTCAGTACATAGTAAGCACACAGTGAACATCAGCTATAGAAGGATTAGTTCCCTCTAACTAGGGAGTTAGGGGTTATTGTCAGCAAATAGATTCTGTCCATTCTCCCTCTAAAAACCAATATGAAATTCTTCTATTTCTCTCCATCCCACTGCTAATCATTCCATTCAAACAGCACTATTGCTCACCTGGACTACTCCAGCGACTTCCTGAGTAGTTTCTCTTTTTCTGTGTTCCCTCCACTTCAGTACATTCTTCATATCACATAAAAGTGATCTTTGAAGCATCAAGATCCTGTCACTTGCTTACTGGCGATCCTGCAGTGGGCTCCCGGCCTCAGCCTGCTGGGTCCTGGGTGATCTGGCTCGGCCTCCCTCCTTGGTCTCGTCTGGAGCTGTCTGTGTCTGGAACACTGTGAACTCCATGCTGCTTCAGGGACATGAGGCTTGCTCTTCCTTCTCCTGACATGCTTTCCCCCTGGATCTTTCCGTGGCTGCTCCTTTTCATCATTCAGGTGGTGTTTGCCTTAGAGCGGCCTTCCCTGACTGCTTAGTAACTCTAACTTGTACTACTCCATTTTATTTCTTCACTTAACATTACTTAAAATTATCCTGTCTGACATCTGTCCCTGGATTTAGAGGGGGAGCTCTGTGACAGTGGGGGCCATGGTTGATCTTTATTGTATAGCTATGTGAGCATCTTAATAAATCCAGAATGGGTGAATGACTTATTACCAATATTAACTTCTATGGACTTTAGGTTTATCATCCTAATGTGGATATTGGGTCCAGAAGATCTCTGAATCTGAAGTGCCACAGTGTGTAGTGTGATGATTTCTGGGCACTAATGGGTCTGCCTGGCCTTGGGATTCTCTTAGAAGCTAAGAAATGTGACCCGTGATTTCCATGTGCTACTCTTTGAGCTGGTGAAGTGGCTGATGGAAGTCAGCACAGTAGAGCTCCCCAGAAAGACATCATCTCACATGCTGAACTAAATTAAGTTTCAAAGTAGTAGAC